AATGTTCCCTTTGATTACAATTCCATTGGCTTCACTGTAATCACTTATTAAAAAACTGCCGATTATCTTTTCTACGCACGCGGGTGCTCTTTACTATACTGCCTAAAATATGGCCACGCGGCGTCTTTACAGTATACTATGCACTGACCGGCAGTTACGCTTGATTGAGAGCGAAGTGATTTTACGAATGAGCGTCGACTCATGGCGCGTTGCGTTTAAATGTGCATGCGGCGTCTTCAGCGCCAGCAACAGTGTCGATGTGCGTCCCTTCCAGAAATTTTCCTTTGGCGTGAGAAAACGAAGCTTCTAGAAGTTTCGAAGGCGTCCCTTTTTTGTGAGTGCTGGCAGTAAATTATATTCCAAATCGTAAACTTGCTCGGACTTGCCGAGTTTTGTTTGTAAACATTTTGCTCGAGTACCCGCCTCGGTCCGCACGTGCGGATCAGCCTAGGTGCACGTGATGGTCAGCCTTGCTGCACGCGCGGTCAGTCTAGGCGCACATGCGGTACGCCGGACTGCGCGTATGACCTTTCTTTTGTTTGAAATTCATGGGACTGCTTCAATCCCGAACACACCAATATATTCATTCTATCACACACTCATTCCAATATTCATAGATTATTAACTATTCATTATTTATTATATTTAATAAAAGGGAAGACTATAAACATTAAAGGCAGTATTGAATAATTGCATTGCTCCTTCCACTTGCCAACAAGCCTCCACCCACCATCATAAGGAGGTTTTTAGTCTGATCCCAGACAATAACAATTGTTACTCTTTTGAACATTTAATTGAAGTAAAATATGTCTAGAGTAAGTTTTAGTTATTAATAAAATTTTAAATCATTTATAAACATAATTATTTTCGTAATTTATAAGCAAGTTTAATTCTTGTGTAATACTTTAAACCATTAATTCGATATTTTGTTAATATTATTTGTATTAACTAGTAGAATTTACAGAATTACATTATATGTATAATTTAATATTGAGTGGATGTATGTATTTTAGTTGATATTAATTTTATTTACAGTTTTATATAATTATATTTGAAAAAAATATGACTACTAAATATTTTATACAATAATTATAAGGAAACTATTTATTTTTTAATTTTTTATATATTATGTTATTATTTTCTTATTTTTTGTAAATATATGTTTATAAATGTCAGATAATTATGATTAAATATTTTTAATAGTTTTCTATTTTTCCGCTCGAAATTGTACTCGTATTTGGAGATGAACAATATCCATAGAAATAGTCTAGAGGGCGCTGTTGTATCCAAAAGTATTCCTATCATGTGCAAACTATGTCTGTACTCGTACCTTGGATCAATGAGCTTTGAAAGCGCCGGCGCACTTTTATGGAAGAATGAGAATGGAAGATTCGTGTATTTCTCTTTTTCAATACTTCTCTTCTTCGTATTATGCTTTTCCTTGACCGTCGAATTCCCCGTGCGCGAGCGCCAAGTGGATAGATAGTTTTTTCAGTGTGATTATTTTAATTTTAGTGAATTTTCACCATATTCGATAGTGGTTCTTTAATATGCAGATCGCAGATATTTAAAAAAAATATTTTTATTACAAACTTCATTAGTTACGTCTATTTTTATTTTCCACTTTTATTTTACTAAAAACGGTGGACATTAAATTCATAATAAATAGACAATAATTAATAAAAATTTTACCGTACTATTCTTGAATTATAAAAAACAGACATATAGAAATTATGTAAACAAATGTAGAGAATCGCACATTAAATATATTTAGAGAAAAAGGGAGGGATAATGAGCATGAGAGAGAGGGAGGGAGTTAGTAAACGTGATTAAGAGAAGTGGTGGAGGGGTAGCGAAGGTGCATAACAAGAAATGTAGAAATTTGTGAAAATCAGTAATAATATTTCTAGTATTACCGTTCACACGCTTATTGATACATGCACAATTTTTGTCTCTAATTTTATATTCAACGGACATTTAAAGCGTAAATATGTTGCTGTCCAAGCAGGAATTAGCAAATACATTAGTAATTGTCACCAATTCTAACGCTGCTGGACAGTGTAAAAGAGAACATAATATACCTAATGCGATCTTTTATAAAGGTCGTAAATTATTTGTTAATGTAAGTATTATTACAATAATATAATATTTACTTTTTATATCAATAGATTGGGAAATACAAATTGTTTTAAAATAATATTTATATTATCATATATAATAAATTATTATTATGTTTTAGTGAAGAATTATACCTTATCAATAATTAGAGTTCTTTTTTAACAACAAATGAAATTTCTAGAAATTGTCTATTTAATAAAGTAATATCAAGCGCAATTTATTAATTAAGTATTTAATTACATATATCTATAATATTTATGGATTAAGTAGACAATTTAAAATCTCAAATTACACGTACTTATTAATTATAAGCATTATTAATAAAGAAGTAAAAATTGAAACTAAAAAATTAATTACCTTTATACATTTAAGAGAAAATTTCGGCAGATTTCATTTCGAGAATCTTTAGTAAAAATAAATAGTTTTTAAAGTATTCAATTGAATTGCTATTTTGAAAGAACTGTGTAATTTTTAAATTAATAATTCAATCAAATAAAATAATAATAAATTATATTAAATTTGTAATCTTTATTATTTATTTATTAATAACATATGAGATGTTAGTTTTTACAAACGTTACATATTATTATTAAATTGCATTAAATTGATATTAAATTAATGATTATTAAATTAATAGTTATTTATAAAATTAAATTGATCGCATAGTATAATGAATTAAATAATACAGCTATACATTATTTATTTTAAAATTTTAATTTCCAAATGACTAAATATTTAAATTGAATTATAAACTTAGTATTAATTAAATTATTAAGCCTTAAGGATAAATTTCTAAAATATAAATTATTAGTTTATATAAATATAAATTATTAAATATAAATAACGATAAATTATTTTTAAAAAATATATGTTATAATAATCTTAATTCAATATAGTCATTCATAGAACCCGATTAAATTGTGGAAGTAAATTTAACTATTTTATTCTTATTTGTTAAACAGTTATTTTCATAGTTGTTCTATTCCACTTTTTTAGAATCAAGTAATTTATCATTAGTCTTCTAATTAAGATTGCTCATAAAGCATTATTTAGGAATAGTTTTAAAATCCTTCAAATTCAAAAGATTGAATTAATTCAATAATGTTATTAATTTTAATTGAAATTCGTTATTATTCCAGAGATCTTTTACATAATAAAAAAAATATTCTACATTTTTGAAGACTCACCTAGTATTAAAGTATTTATTACCCTAAATTACTATTTGATAATTAATATTCAATTTACCTGAGTATTAGATAATAAAATAATGGAATTAGAATCATTCAAAGTTACGTATTGTAGTTTATTTAAATAATTTACATACATATTACATATTTCAAGAATATTAATTATAAATTTAAATTTTTAATTTAAAAATATTATTTTCAAATACTTGACTAATATACTTCGACTAAGATAATTAGAGATGAAATTATCTCGTCCCGTTAGTTATTTAAATAAATTATTTTACTCATGTAAATACGACACATTAATATAGATGACTTATTTATTGAATGTATATCAGAATAATAATATTGAGAATTATTCTTCATTTAATACAGGAGTGAAAAAACAAACATTGTTAACATAATTTTTTTACATATACAATTTATTTTACGTGTGAAAAAAAATTAATGTAAAGAGATTTCTTTATTTTATAATTATACAACATCTACATAGATGGGTTGTACGTTGAATTTCGATAAATCCAGCGATTACGTACATTAGTGAACAATAATTGTATTAAACTCATACCATAAAGTACTCTTAAATATTATTTCTAATATTTTAATTCATATGAATAAAGTCTGTTGTTTATTAAATTATAGAATTTCAGCAAATTAATTAATTTTAATTTTGTAATTATCTTAAATAATTTTCCACAAATTTGTAAATAGTATTATGCGATATTAAATAATGTATTTAATATAAAATTAATCAACATTAATTTAATATCTTCTGTTCTTGTTATTTATGTTATTTTTAATAATTTAAATTTTATCCACTTTATTTTATATTTACAATTAAATTAAATCGAAAAACATGTTAATATTATCTTTTCATAAATGAATATTTAATTCTGTAAAATTATTTCATTAATATTATCGTTCTCTGAAATGAAATAAATTATATGTAGAAAACATATTTACTTTATGAGATTAAAAAAGAATATAATTTATATACAGTTAAATTCATTAATATAAATTATATTTGAAAATTAAAAATAATGTTATATAATTTAGCGTGAAAAATATCTATTATTTTTTAATTTTTATTTATTTTTATAAGAATTTTCTAAATAATATGATTCTTCGTAGACATAAATACCATAATTTTTTATTATTTCTATTTAATTTATGTTTAATTATATAAACATATCTATATACAGTTTATTTTATGAAAATAAATAAAACAAACAAAATTTTAGGAATACAAGGCCGTAGAAATAAATATCTGTAGATATAATTTAAAATATTCTAATAAATGTTCTCAAACGGTAATGCGAATATAATGAACTAATGGTTACTATATTTTATATTTGATAAATTGAGATAATATTAAATAATTTAATTATTTTATATTTTATTACAGAACGATTTGCAACCTCCATATACAAGATTCCATCCATCTTGGATACTTTGAGTAAGTATTTAGAGAAATGTAATTAAAAAATTTCACTATATTTATTAATTTAAGAAAGTTATTTATATACTTTATTCATCTATCAAAATCAAGAAATTTAATACCTATCAAATTTGAAATGTTAAAAATATAAATTGTCACTAAATGTATAGAAGTAATATGAAATTAATAATGAGGAATATTTTCTGTCGATTATAATTAATTTTCTGTTGGTCATAAAATATAAAAAATATATCACAAATAATATAAATTTGTTTACTGACTTATGATGGTTATTTAATGTACAAATGATACTAATGGTATCAGTTGGTTTGTAATTTATAATATTAAAATTGTTTTCTGATTAATACCTAAGCTGATGACATTCAGTAAACATTAAATGACATTCGGCTTAACATAAAAATATATTGAGAAATGAAGAAAGGAATGACGAGAACGATTTATAGATAATAATGGTAATATAAGACTAAAAAGTTGTCATTGGTGTTTTGCGACTACATATAGTGAAATAATATTTGAAAAAAATATCTACCCTATTTTATAGCCAAATAATAAAATGTGTTTCAACATATTTTCCGTATATTTGTCGAGTTTTTTATTTGCAAACACCATGAACATGAAATGCTTGTTCCGAGGTTCGAAATATTCTAAAATTACATAATCTTGTACAAACATAAGCAATTTATCTAGTTTTCCATAAAAAAAAACAAACATTATACTGTTTATTTAAATTTTGAATCTACTTGAGTAGTAGCTCAAAATACTCATTTTTTATATATCTATTATTGTCTTGTATTCTCTCCAGCGATACTCTTTGTATTTATGTTTATTGTGTTTGTCTTGTTTTAAGTACTTCGTGAAGTATAATATTTCTAGCTGATATTATTTGTAATTATAAAAAATAAATATTTTTTAATAAATGTTTTTATAAAATTAAAATTAATAATTTATTTTTTCAACTTTTTAAACACTGTGATAGTTTTTACCCATACGATCCATTAAAAAATTATGTGCTCTTCTGATTATTATCTCATGTAATAAAAATGGCTTTTGAATTATCTCGATATATTAGATAATATAATTCTTTTTTGATATTTTTTCTTTTAATATTTTGTGTTACATCTATTACTTTATCAATTGTTCTACTCTTTTATATTATTCTTTTATTTTTATTCAAATACTTGTATATTATTTTACGAATCTTTTAACTACGAATGCATTAATTTTAACTTATTTATTTAAGAATTAATTATTTAAGAATATTATCATAAAATTGAATACTCCTTTATTTACTGAATAAATTGAAATTATATTAATAATTTTTCTTATTTGTTCATATATTTGTCATATATAACTATCTTTATTCATAGAATTTTTATATAAGTTAAGAATGTTTCAAAATTGGTGACATGAATAAATGTCAAAACATTATATTTTATTATGCAATTATTTAAAATAGAACGTATGTTTACACATTATGTTACTATATTCATTAAAGAATTGAAAAGAGATAGAAGGATTTAATGGTCTTGTATTATGAATTTCTGCTCAATGTATTCTGTTATGTATTCGATACATTACGTTAAATAATTTATTCGGATGGTGTAGGATCTAAAATTGCCAGTATTTATTACTGGTACTGACTTCTCAGTTGTTTTTTGTTGTAACTAATTTGGAAATTCTTTCTTTTTTGACTGGATCATATTATCTTCGTTGTGTAGGTATTTATTTATATAATAGAACAATTTATATCTAATCTGGGCCATTATATATAATAAAAATACTTAAGTGACAATCGTAGAGTTTTGTTTAACAGACATAAGTTACTTATAACAACTTATTCTTTTTTGTGCTGCAATGTATTTAAAAAGTTAGAAAATTATACAAAAAAACTGTTAATCTTATTGTATATATTAAAAAATAAGAAATAATAATAAATTTTTATACATAAACGTATCTTTTATTGACAATCATTTTTCTAATAGAAATTATTGTAAACTTACATTGGATAAATTTATCGTAATATTATTTTTCTATGATATAAATCATAAATAATATATATAAATTAAGGGTTCTAAAAAAGGAGAATTCTTGGAAATGGTATAATGTAAGTTGATTATTGATCTTCAAAATTCAGTTTCACTCATATTTTTTTTATAAGTAAATATAAAATTTGTTAGTTCGAATCTCTATTCACTGTCATAATATTTGATTCAAAATGCATAATATTTTACATGGAAACATATAAATAAATGTTATAAAATATATAATGTTATGTCACAAATCTAATTTAACAATATTATATTAGAACATATTTTTTATTAAATATTTGTTAAATCAATAATCTTTTTTTATCACTTTCAATATTATTCGTTATTTTCATATATTGTTACTATCCTATTTTTATTATTAAATACCTTTACTTTTAATGGTTAGATTGGATTATTTAAATAATTAATTCCAATTATTTCTAATTAATCTAATAAATTGAAATTAATTTAAAAATATATTATTATAAATGATAATAATTTGAATCGTTATTTCTATTATTAATATAATTTTAAATATTAAAATCACATTTTGTATTACAACTGGAAACATTTATCGTTTATTACTAAACTTATTATTCTTATATTGAGCGTCGTTCAAAATAAATCGTGTGTAATAATATATTTAATGTTATAAATGATATTCTTATTTACATAAAATTTTCATTGATGTTATTCATTATTCTAGCCTTTTATTCGTCTTTATAGAATTTTAAAATAAGCTATATAATATGATTTGACGTTTTTTATAAAATTAAATCCAAACAGTATTTATTTTAATTTACTTATGAATTAGTTATTTTTAAGTAAATCAATATTGAAAAAAAGAATTAAAACGTTCCATTTTGTTTAAAAAAATTTTTTGTTAAGTTGTATAGTATTTAATAATATAATATATATTACAATGATTTCAGAATACCAGAAAGATGGGTGCTCGTCGTTCTGGATCAAGTTGGATTCGCAGCAATACTGGTATTCTCAAAGAACGAGCAAACATGTCTTTCATGCTTGTAGTTATGTTCTTTGCTGTATTTGGACTAATTGTCCTCACAGAGATCTTTTTAATTGACGATAAGCATAGCGGTGGTATCAGTAGTGGACTTAATGGGCATCGTTTTGGTCCTAAATTATCCTCTGCTCCAGACCGACCAGATTATGAAGAAATCGGCGTATGTATACAGATTTAAATTTGACATTTAAACAATTTTTTTATTTAAACTGAAAGAATAAATATATCATGTGTTTTATTTTATTAATCTAGTACTTTGGAGACCTAATATGTTATTTATGGATTTATATTTATATAGTGTTTATAAAATAGCAGTAATGCATGCATAAATAAATATTTATGAAAATAAATCGAATTTGAAACTACTGTAACATAATAGATTAACTAAAAATTTTGTAGTTTAATTTTCCGTTTCTTTTTACATAATTTAATTGTTTGAAAACTAATATAAACTATTTAAATTTATTAAGAGATTTCTAAGCAGTATATTTCATATAATTAATATTGTATAATATAATTAAAGTAACGTTTATACATATCTAAACTTAAAAAATATATATAAAATAAATAGATAAGATTATAAATAATTTCATATTTTATAGATGAAAAAGTTATTTAACTTTAAATAACTAATAAACTAATTTAAATTATTATATAACATAATGAAATTCTTTACACACATACACACTCAGGATTATTATATTCAGTTTATCACATAGCTGCTAATTAAAATTTGAATAAATTTAAAATATATGAAAAATTGCACCTAATTATGTTCTAATTATAATCATAAAATATTAAATCAAAAGAAATACAAAATGATTTAGCATCAATAACTTAATACAAATAATTTAATTAGATTTAATCAGATATATTTCTATTTGCACTATAAAATAATATCTGTAGAAAGTTATAATAAATTTCAGATTAAATAAATAAAAGGCCTAATCAGATAAAATAAACTATTTAGATACAGGAGCAATTTTCATAAAAAGCTGATAAAATAAAAATTTTATCATATTAAAAAATTCAGTAAACGTAAAAATATATTAAATTTTTTAGCAAATATTAATTTTTTGAAGCTAAAAATTTGTACATAATAATTACTTACAATAATGATAAATGATATTTAATATATGATTTACTAAAGTATAAATTCAATTAAATTTAATTCAATGCTAATTATTTCATTTACATTTATCTATATAAGCGTATTTATTATATCTATTAATTTTATAAACTATTTCATCAAATTATTTTCTTTAAAGATAACTTGTTAGTTGATGAATTCATCAGAAAAAGGATAAGTATTTCATATCTATGATATGATTGTTTAACATTATTACCATATCTGTAATTACATAAGAAGTATTTGTTTCTATTTATGTCTTAAATTAGCGTGGAAAATACAATTTGTCAAAAAATAAAAAATGTAAAAATTAAATTAAATAAAAAAACTAAGTAAATATTTTTCAATATTATACTTCACATTGGTCCTTGAAATTATTTATCATATATAGTGGTTGTGTGCTTTTAGAAGTCTTATGTCATTATTTTCATGAATACTTCAAAGACTTATATTAATTACCTTCATATAACATTATTTATCTTTATAAAAGCGTTTTACTTATCTAAGTTTTATTTGTATTTTTTCTATTCTTGCTAATGTAAATTGTAGCTCTTTGTGATGAGATACAAAATTAACTAATTATTTTTTCATAAAGTCTTTATCGTTTTAATTTTAATTCAACCTTTTCATTGTAAATTCGATATTTTCCTACTATTGCATATTTACATGTATCATACAATATACCATTAGATTATTATCATTTATTCATTCGTATTTTCTTGGTGTGATTTAAACATTGATGTACATTCACCAAGCTATATACATATATAAAACAGTATCCGAAATGTACTAATTTACTAATTTACTAATATTATGAAAAATATTATGAAGTAGTCAAATTTATCATGTAAGATATATTTTTCTAATTCTTTTCTCGATTTATAAATTTTAAAATCTAAAATCATTTTATATTCTATTTTTATTTACAATGAATAAAAATCAAATAATATTGATAAAAGAGATATTGCAAATATTGCACGTAATTCAATTTTTATCTTAGCTTTTTATAATAAATATTCTGTTTCAAAAGATATTTGTAATCAGCGATTGTTTGTTTAAATTGAATATTTTTAAATTTTATTATTATACTGTTATCAATATATTTATTATTATTCTATTGTTAAAATAAAATAGTATTATTTTATTATGAAAATCCTTTTGAAATTGAATTCTTTTTTACTTAGCAGTATAATAATTTTTTTTTAATAATAATATTTTAGTATCGGTATAATATCTTGTAAATTTCTGTAAATAATTTCGTACACATGATGTGGATTTTTAGTAATCTATAGTTCTTTAGCGTGTGAATTGTTGTTGAAACCTATTTGGTGGTGCATTCACGATCTATACAAATTCTGTACTTAATCATGTAGGTATATAATTTATTTTTCTATTCTACTATAAAAATTAAATAATTCATTTTTGAAAATAGGATTTAATATTTAATATGAATATTTAAATTCAATAAAAATATTTTAAACGATTTATAATTCATAAACCTAATTACATGCTTATACGAAAAATTAATTATTAAAACTTCATATATTAATGTTCTCAATCTTTTCTTATAAAGAAGTATTATTTTTACCACATATTTTAAAGTCTCTTTATATTTATATATACGATAAAAAAAAATTATAATGTAGCTAGTCGACTACACAAGTTTAAAAGGTGGTCTTGAAGAGCGTTTGAGTATGTTGGTCCGAGGAGCTGAGTTGAAGGGAGCTCTCGCAGCTGCTATGCCTATCGATCCTAGAAGTCTTTCGAGTATCCCTATAAATCTGGAAGCTCGACTACCTCAATTAGACAAGAGCTTACGAATTACGCATGCAGAATGGTTACCAGTTACAAATACCAGGTACAACTGTAAATTTCTGTTCATAAATACCTTGATAGAATTAAAAATTTTCAGAACGTTTAATAAAAGTTAGATACATAAATTACATTAAAAAAGATGTTGTAGAAATCGAAGATTAAAATAGATCAGTACAAGACAATATTATACGAATAAAAAATACATTAAAATGTGGAATCTTCATTAATAACACTAATAGGGTATTGTCAATCGTTTATAATTCAGTTATTCATACACATAGTTGATCAACTTGCCATTTAATCTAAAAGTACAAGTATTTTTATTTTGTGTTTTGAAATCACTGGTGATTATTATGAATCTATTACATATACTAATCGTATCGTTAAAGAAAAATATGAATAAAATATCATATTGATAATTTAAGAACATTTTGTAATATTAATAAAGAATCCAAACAATATTATATTTAACAAAAAAAATGTATAATTTAATTTATTATTTGTTCGGAAAATAATCCCACAATTTGACTAGTCAGCCAAACGTGCAATAATTAACGTAGAACAATAAAACCCACTAGATGTTATGTGGGGTTGCCGGGCAAGTAAAGGGTGAATGCACTGATTAATAATTAACACATGTCTTTATTATTGCTATTTATTTGAATTGATTTACAAAATGGTGAATTACAGACGAACTTTATATTTCTTGATAATCTTGTGGTGTTGAAATATATTTACTATGAATGAAGCAGGTTATAATCTATTGAATATTATCACTAAGAGGTTATGGTGATTGTAATGCTCTGATCGAACACTGGAATGCTATTGTGTTTATCTTAATACGTGTGTAGTTGCCTTTAAATATCGGTCGTAAGAGAGCCGAGATGGAGGTTATGCGAAGCTGTGCGCCATCTGTGGCGGGAACAACTTGCAGTTGGAGGGATTGAGAAGCCAATGTGGCATTTATAGCTGGTCTTGTTCAAGAGTATGTCCGGGAAGCTTCCGTAGTTGGACTTTAATCCGTCCGTCTTCTACATAAGCCGAGAAATCAAGAATGAGTACTAGCTGTAAGGACTTACTTGCAGTGTATCGTGATTTTCCAGTCTCTCTTCGATGGCTTGTTATTACGTTCCCTTGCAATGTTGCAACCCTTCAGTTCTTCCTTGTCTCCAAGTGAGACCACAAGTGGTCAGGTCCCACGCAATCCAGTCTTGATGAGATCAATTCAACTGTACACTAATTCACAATAGTGGAAAGAACTTATTATTAAAACTCAGCTAGCTAAACGACTCATCTCTCCGGTCCTCCTCCGTGAGAGTTGGTCGTGACTTATCCTTCACTGTAAGAAGTATTTGGAAAGAGTAAGTGAGGGTACATTACGTAGTCCCTTCTTAAAATGATTCACTGATCCCGCTCCACTTGGGATCCCTTCTTCCTTTATTAATTAACCAATCAGTGGTTGATCTTGGGTCGCACAATAGATTATGCACGCCTTCATTTCCACTTCCTTCCGGGCTCAGTTCCGAATTTGCTAATTGGGAAAGTGTCGGAAGGTGGCGAGCCTTTTCCATTGGTCACCTCTCTTTGGTTGCCTCATCCCTCTCTGGGACTTGGCTAGAAGAAGGGTCCGCTTGGGCGTGGTCAATTTTCCAATACGATCGACCAGATGTGGCATAGCCAAGAACAATGCAAGCATTGTCTTAAAGGCCGAGTGCGCACGTATGGTCATTGCATGTGTAGTACGTATGGGTTTTCGGTTGCAGTAAATATTTGTACTCAATGCTTCACGCATATCTGATATTCGTTTCGAATCTACTTTGGGGTTCTCCCGGCAGTAAACCCATTAGGTTCTACTGCACTGGGAGTATGAGCACGTTCCGCTAGAGTTTTCCAGATGTTTTATGACACTAGTACAAATAATTATGAGCAGGAAAGTTTTGAAGTCTTAAATACAATTTTCATGACATTACTTGTCAGATATTTTATTGCCTTATTAAACGGAGTCTCTTATTCTCAAACAAATATGATAAATGATGTTTCAAGTCATTTAAAAAGTCAGTTAGCTTTTTGAATTTAAGTACCCTATCAATATAACTGTCTACAAATACGAAAACTTGGAACAATATTTAGAAATGTATGAGATTAAACTTGCCTTAAAAAAAAACTCATTTAGTTTGAATACGAAATACAATTTTAATAAAAATGTTTCTCTCATCATTAAAAATTCTATTTTTTCAGTTCATTAATAGCAAACTATATTTATAAATGAAATGCTTGTTCTTAATACTTGCTTTGCTATAGAAAATTAAATAAATGTAATATAACAAATTCAAGATTTAAATGCATAAAGTAATCGAAAATTAAAATAATTTATAGAAATGAACTTATATAAGAAATTTTATTTAAAGAAGTTTATTTAAAATAAAAAATTTGTATTTACATATAATATCTATAAACGCATCAAATCATTAATAAACATTCTGTAATAATCAACACCACAATGAAGATTGGCTTTTCGTATATCAATTATAGTACCTGTTCTGGGGCATGTTCCTTGGTTAACACCTAAAATAAAACTCCCAAAAATAAGTGGACCACCACTGTCACCCTAACAAGAAAGGTTAGTTTTAATATCTTTATAGTCAGTAATAGTAAAATTTACATGTAAAGAAGACATAGAGATTTTTTTTTAATGTTTTTATAAGCGAATAATGTTTTTTGAGTGTGCATTATTGAAAATTTTAATATTCAAATAGATTATATCATTACATACAGAGTTTATAAGAGCATATGGTTCAGCCAAGGTACAAAGATATCTTTCGCTAATATAAACATAGCGTTGTACAACTCGATAAGCTATAGTTTCGCAGTCGTCTCGTGATATAATTCTCACATTAACTGTATGTAAAATATTTGGGTTTAAGCCATCTGTTAATTTACCCCATCCTGCAATGACAGCATCTAAACCAACTAAATTGCTATTGTCGTCAAATGAAACAAGTGCTGGGATGATTGTTTCATTAACTTGTGTAAGTAACTAAAGTAAGGAGAATTAATATAAATATATAATAAATAGCAATGTATGTAAATATGTAGATTAATTAACTTGTATTATTTCGTATTATATTTATAAAAGTATTAACAGATATTAGATTAATACTATCTCCCCCTCTCCTCCTCTCTCATTCAAATACAATTAATATTTTAATATGACAGCAAATACTAGAATAATATAAAATACAATCAATAATACGTATAAATATTAATTTACTTTTATTATAGCAATGTCATTAGTGTCGAATTCAAGTTCTCTGTTTTGTGACGCAGCCCACAGATTATAAGTTATCCACCAATATATATGATATCGTGTAGCCTGCCTTAAATCTATTGATCCAACAAGTGCGTGAATACTGTGTATTCCCATATTTTCGAAACAATGAGCAGATGTCAAAATATGATCATGTGTAATCAATGTTCCAGTACATTTTATATCATTTCCAAAAAAATTATGGAAATTACTCAATCTTACAATACAAACAACACTAGGAAATTCACCTTCCAACGCTTGTCTAACGTTTCTACCGTATAGTGCTTCTCCGTATTTGAACATATATAGACTGTCTAAAAGCAAGACGCGAATTATGAAACTGTGTGTATCGCGAGCAAGACGCGAGATGTGAAATTGTATGTATCGCGGGCATAACGCGAATTATTAATTTCAATAGGTTGTATCGCGAGCAAGACGCGAGATATGAAATTGTGTGTATCGCGGGCATAACGCGAATTATTAATTTCAATAGGTTGTATCGCGAGCAAGACGCGAGATGTGAAATTGTATGTATCGCGGGCATAACGCGAATTATTAATTTCAATAGGTTGTATCGCGAGCAAGACGCGAGATGTGAAATTGTATGTATCGCGGGCATAACGCGAATTATTAATTTCAATAGGTTGTATCGCGAGCAAGACGCGAGATATGAAATTGTGTGTTCGCGAGCAAGACGCGAATTATGAATTTCAATAGGTTGTATCGCGAGCAAGACGCGAGATATGAAATTGTGTGTATCGCGGGCATAACGCGAATTATTAATTTCAATAGGTTGTATCGCGAGCAAGACGCGAGATGTGAAATTGTATGTATCGCGGGCATAACGCGAATTATTAATTTCAATAGGTTGTATCGCGAGCAAGACGCGAGATATGAATGTGTGTGTATCGCAAGCATAACGCGAATCATAAAATTATATGTATCGCGAGCATAGCGCGAATTATAAATTTCAATAGGTTGTATCGCGAGCAAGACGCGAGATATGAATGTGTGTGTATCGCAAGCATAACGCGAATCATAAAATTATATGTATCGCGAGCATAGCGCGAATTATAAATTTCAATAGGTTGTATCGCGAGCAAGACGCGAGATATGAATGTGTGTGTATCGCAAGCATAACGCGAATCATAAAATTATATGTATCGCGAGCATAGCGCGAATTATAAATTTCAATAGGTTGTATCGCGAGCAAGACGCGAGATATGAATGTGTGTGTATCGCAAGCATAACGCGAATCATAAAATTATATGTATCGCGAGCATAGCGCGAATTATAAATTTCAATAGGTTGTATCGCGAGCAAGACGCGAGATGTGAAATTGTATGTATCGCGGGCATAACGCGAATTATAAATTTCAATAGGTTGTATATCGTGGGCATAACGCGAATTATAAAATTGTGTATATTGCGAGCAAGACGCGAGATATGAATGTGTGTGTATCGCAAGCATAACGCGAATCATAAAATTATATGTATCGCGAGCATAGCGCGAATTATAAATTTCAATAGGTTGTATCGCGAGCAAGACGCGAGATATGAAACTGAGTATCGCGAGCAAGACGCGAGATGTGAAATTTTATGAAAGCCTGACCACGTGATTGATTGTCTTGTTCTAAAGGGTATGTGAAGCACAGAATCGAAACTACTAATGCTAGTTTTCGTAAAACTATAGTTTTTCTTCTTCAGCTAATACTGTCAGTAAATAATCGGAATGATACTGACACTTCTGTGTCGAATGTGTGGCCTTGAGAATGCTGATGTGATTGACCATACCTTAAGACTCGCGTGGTGTGGTAGTGTTGTTTTTCGTTATGCTATCTACACTCTTTGGACTATTTCAATAAATTGCTTGTTGCTCCCTTTATCTGTGATTAGCGACTTCGTGATTGTTGCAATTTATCAGTAGATGATTCCTTTCGACAGTGAACACAAGTTGATTTAATTCGTTAGTTAACCGTTAATTTCATTGTGATTGCCCTTTACAGTGAGGTAAACACTATTACAGATTATTCCCTCTTTTTAGTTTAATTATGTTTTTATGATACAACTTATTATTAGTGTTGTAGAATTTTCTTGATCTAATGTAAAGATGCGATTTCTTCAATGGTTTCTTGTATAGGAGGTGTCACTACACAAGATGTTCTTGAGATCGTTCAATCATGTTGTTGTAAGAGTAATTTTAACTAATTCCTTGTTTGATGTTCCAGTTGTCGAATGAATAGATGAGCTCCTGTACACTCCCATGCATCATCGATATTAGATGCTCTTAGACTCTTAATAACATTATCCATGTTATTCACCACCTTGATGAGCTCGAGGATGGTTCTGGGTTTTGAGGTGGCGGTAGTAAGGAGTTTTTGCATGTTTAGGTGGGCAGCTTGCTTGGGACTGTCACACCCTTCTGCATTGTTTGCGACTATCCTATTGACTTGTCCTGCTGCAACAAGAGCATGTCCGTTGGACAGTCTTTCTTCGGCAGCACTACAAGTGAACACTTCATGACATTACTTGTCAGATATTTTATTGCCTTATTAAACGGAGTCTCTTATTCTCAAACATTATTATATTATTTAAAATATAATCAACTAATTCTTTGGACGTAATACGGCATTGAAACAAATATAAATATACCAATATTAAAATTAATTATTTTTATTATAACGATAAAAATTTTGAGAGTTATGTTCATATGGTATATCTCAATCATCAAATACATTTTTAAATTAGATGTTATTAAATCGAATTAATTCTATTAAAGTGAAAATTCAATAGTGAGATAACGAAAATAAATTTACATAATTGATATATTATTATAGATTCAAATTTTTCGTATATTCCGCTTATTATGATGAAAGAGTTGGGGGTGGAATCATTAGAAATCATGGATCGAATTCTGGTGTTATACGTGTTATTGGAGCTACGAAAACAAGAGGTCCCGAAAAAGTCTGGTGCAGATTATGGTATCTACACAACTCCAACAATATAACAACTTCTATAACTGTTGCAGCTAAAGTCAAGGTGAAATATTATTTGGTAACTTACATATAAATATATATTGACAGATTAATCGTTATTAAATACTAATCTTTATAAGACTAAACAAGTTATTATAAAAATTTTTACCTTTTTATCAATTAATGATAAAAATTCTAGAATTATATAACGACATATGCATTAAACTGTTATTATTTTCAAATATATTATAATATAAGAGCTTATTACAATATTATGTATATATTTACCTACATACGGAGTTTATACATAATTTAAACATTATGTTTCAACTGTTATATATTGCAAATACATTTTTCAGGTAATTTGAAATTTATCTTTATTCAAATAATTGTATATTTTATTAAAAAGTTCAACCTTTTAAAATGAAAAACATCATTAAAAGTCAATTTAATTGATAAATTAAATAAATATTTACATTCTAATAATTATTTTCATTTCTACAGTAATTTTCGAAGGTTCCGCGAATATTTTAAATGTTTTTATATATATTTTCAGATTTCTAATAATTAACTTTACTTTTTAAAGCGAAATTTTTTATTATTTACAAAGTCAGTTTATAATTAGTTAATTTAATTTGAAATAGTAGAAATGTGTTTAATTTTTCGAATTAAAAGTCTAATGATTTCATAATGACAAAATATATTTTTTATGAAAAAAATAAAAATTATTAAGAATCAGTATAATCAAATAGAAATTATTGAGTTTTTATTCTCATTTCATAATTACAATAGATAATCAAACAATTATTATAAAATTTGAATATATGTTTATGTTATATAATATTTAATATAATATTATGTACGTAAATGTAAAAATTATTCTTATTACAAGTCACTAATTTATTATTACTATATTGTGATAAATAGAAAATTTTCATTTCATGGATCGGTATTTTTTGTTTGAAGAATGTAAATAAAATTTTGATGCAACATTACAATATACATAATATTTTAAAATACAACATAACATTTTTCTAATTATATAACTTTTATTATAGTAGCTTATTTAATTTTTCAAAAAATGTAAACAAAAAAGTATTAAATCAAAATTTATATTTATACATGGTATAGATTTTTTTAATGTTGTATTTGTGTAGAAATATATTATGGGTTTAAGGAGATACAGACGTTAAAATTACTAACAATATATAAACTATAATACTCTATTTAATTTAAATTAATGAAAAATATTACAATTTACCTATCGTGTGTCTCATATTTGATTCTGAAAAATAATATACCAATAGCTGTTAAATAAAGATATTATACTTACATTTTGTAGGTTATTCGAGAAAATTGGAATTTGAAATACAGCGCGTGCTTTGTGATCTGTCCATTGCCAAAGGAATCACATTCATTATCAACAGAGCAAATACCAGAAGCTGTTAGTATCGTGGCTAGGTTAAGAGCATCACCAACTAATAGAATAGTTGTACAGAATCGACCTGTCGACAGACCGAAGCATCGACAATCCCTTGCAGTCTGCATTAAACCATTGCACTATGATTACAATAGGGTGAGCGAAACTACCTACATACATTATCTCCTAATTTATTCAATACTTGTATAAGAATGAATTAGCCCATAATTTGGAAAAACAATATTATATAATAATTACAAATATTAATGAATATTTGTTTAAAATTCAATCAATTTTAACTTAAAAAATTTTTTATAGAAAAGAACAAAAATTTCTTTTATACAGATTAAATTAATTATATTATAATAATATATTTGATGTAAAATTATTAATTATGAAAATCATAAATACATTTAAAACATATATTTGAATATATTAAATATATTCAATTAATTTAAATATAAAATGTGTGTAGAGCATTTTTAATACTTCAGTTTTGATTAATTAAACCTAATTTTATTCTTCATTAAAGTTTGATAATTACATATATTCAATTTGAAAAACACTTATAAATTTATGTAGAATAGTTATTTAATTTATATATATTTATTAATTCGATCAATTACTTCTACAATAAAAATGGAAAAGGAAAAACAAATTTCTGATTAAAATATTTGGGTATGTAAATATTTATTAAGCTCATATGTGTATTATATTACAGCTGATTATCATTGTACTGTATTATATTTTTAAAAGAATAAAATTTACATATAAACTAAGATTTATACACATTCTTTTATTATTTTAATAATATATTATCAAAATTAAAAATGATTATAAAATACAAAATATTCCATAGAATTAAAAAAATTTAGTAAGTGATGTAATTACAAAATATTCCATAGAATTAAAAAAATATAATAAGCGATGTAAATATACATATGTACAAGTGCTTCGATTATTATAATTCAATTAAAAATATAATAAATGACAAATTCATGTTCAGGTTCTTCAATTAGTAGAATTTATTGAGCTTCACAAGATCTTAGGTGCAAGCCATGTGACTTTATACAACGACTCTCTTGGTAGCGATGCAGGCTGTGCTCTCAATTATTATGAAGGCAAAGGTCTAGTGACACTCCTGCCTTGGCATCACTTGGACATGATTTCTCAGCGTGAAATACGTACCGAAGGGCTTTTTGCTGCTCTCAATGACTGCCTTTATCGATCCATGTATACCTACGAGTACCTTGCTCTACTTGATCTTGATGAATTCATCATACCTCGTCATGAGGATACTATACTTGATCTTATAAGGTTTAAGAATTTTTCTTTACTGCTAATTGAGGTTTCTTCATTTCTATATAAAATTAATTTTACTGTGCAGAGATATTAGTTAAATTTAAATATTTTAATTTTATGTAAGTAATATTTTTATTCGATGCAAACTAAATATAAAAAGAGAGTACTTCTTTGTAATTACTTTTATTTTCAACCTTTTTATAAGTACTACAGATAATACATATTAATTATAAAATAAGTATATTTAAACAAATTTATTCGTAAAATATGTATTTAACTATTACTTTATTGTTGTAATGAAATAATTGTTGACCATAGTATTTTGCTCAAGTTTATTTTGGGTCTTTAGCTATGTACATTAGCTATTAAAATTAAATTTACGATAATACAGAATAAGAAAAAAAAATAGAAAAAAAGTTATAAAAAATAAAATGTGTACGAACAACTTTTTATTTAATTTTTTATTAATTACTACATACATTAATACCTATGACTGACATGTAATCACAGAGTTTCTATTGCCATTATGAAAGTGCTAATAATTATAGACATTTTACAATATATAATAACATTCAATAACATTATAATTAGATTTGAAAATATACTAGAAACTTCAAAGTATTTAATGTGCAGTAGGACATACAAAATGTTTTATGACAAATTGAGTATTAATGTGGTCAGCTATAGAAAAATAAAGTCAATAAAAAATTATTTTCTTAATCAAGCAAGAAAATGATATTCAAAATTGAAGAGTTTGAATCAACTCACTATTAAATAATGGAATTAACGATATTGGATGTTTTAGTTACTAAATGAAACATTGATTCATTTATATCAATATAGCACCAAGCAATGTCAGTAGTAAATTGGTTGATAGCATGCAGAATTAAAAAATAGTAATAAGAAATGTAAAACATAAAGTATAATCATTTAAAATTGTGGAAATATTATAGGTAGGAAGCTTATTATCATTATTACTCATGAAACACTATCACTTCAAACTTGACATTATACATGGATTATTATTGTGCAATGCTTCCATATGAATTTGAATAAAATGTATCTTATTTTATCAAAGAAGGTTTAATTTACCCCATTAAAGTTGTAGGTGGACTGAGTAAAATGATTTCTATTTTCACATCAAAGTCATTAGTAAAAATTCATGATGAAATGGTCTCTTGATAGAATAATTAAAATATGATTAAAAGAATAACAGAACATTAAAATTAATGAGAATTTATATATGAGAATAGGTCATTTTTTTTAATCAGTATTAGAGCTAATAGGAAGCCAAATGAAAAGTTGAAATAAGTTATTTAAAAGATACAACAGAGATAGTTTATGATAAAATAAAACAGGAAAATTATTTATTGATAAAATAAATTCATTATAAGCAAGATATAGCAACGATCAAGAACGAAGTTAAATGGACATTTTTCAAATCGTATAATACGATAAAAGGCAAGAAAATGAAAATAATATATGATATAAGAAAAAATCAAAAACAAAGTAAAATAAAATAAAAAATTTACTATTTTAAAAAAGTTCTTTGTTAACAGATATTAGTTGCTCTTAATTATCTCTTCATCATGACCGGTAGAAATGAAATATCTAACATATAATGTATATAGTAGCATTCATCACAAGTTCAAATACTTTTTGAATGCATATATATTTTATTCTTATCTTCTGCAAGTTATGTCCGTTTTGTACACATGTACACGTACATCACACATGGATATTATATCATATTTACGATAGGTAGTCGATACATTTTTAACAGGTTGTAATTAACTCAGAAATGGAAGAGAGAGAGAGAGAGATGAAAGAAGTATTGGTGAATTAAATTTAGGCAAAACGAAAAATTATAGCTAGGGGTAATACTGAGAAAAAAATAAGTTAAAAACATAATAAATAAATGTCTAAATATATATGTATTTTTTATTTTAATACAGAGATTTTTAGAATTATTGAATTAATTATTATTATGAATGAATAATAACTTATTTATTCTTAGTTAAAACGGTATTAAATACGTATAAATATTCAATTTTCGATCTTACTTTTAGTATTAATATACGTAAATAATCACGTTATTAAAATATCTGCAAGGTATAAAATGTGTATTGATTTAATAAAACAATGTCAATAATACAATATATACATAATAAGATAATTCAATAGTTTAATTTTTTTATAGAATTTATAGAATTTTATATAAATTTAACTAATAGGTGCAATTTTTTCAGATTGATCAGTCGACGTTCAAGTAGTAAAACGGCAAGCGCCTATTCCTTCCAGAATGCCTTTTTCTACCTCCAATGGCCAGATGATCCCTATGTAACAACTCGTCGAAATATCGAAGCTAGTCTCGTTACTCTCCGCAAAACTCGACGTCGATCAAAACTTCATCCTCACAAACAACGGAGTAAATATGTATGTCGTCCACGCGACATTATAGAAACCGGTAATCATTTTGTTTGGGAATTCATACCAGGTCACGGAGCCGTAAATGTCCCCGCAGATGAGGCAATTTTACATCACTATAGAGTTTGCGAATTTGGAGGTGACGACTGCATCAAGACCGCTTCAGTAATTGATCGTACAGCATATAAGTATCTTGATAAATTAGCAGAACAAGTTGAAATTACCTGGCAACAACTAATTAAAATGTGTCCCAACATACCAAATTTGAAACCTGTGACTTTTGAAGTTTCCAAAGCTGCGCATAATGAATTAAATATTAGAAAAAGTGCGAGGTAGCAGGAAATACAATTAATCCCAAGAGATATTCGTTTCTTTCTGCATCATCGGCGAGTCCAATCTCGTTCAAACGTGCTTTTACAATAGTACGTAAAAAGAAGTTACATGACTCAAACCTTTCCAACGAGTACTTTTTGTTTTTTTTTATAATCGAATTATTGCCTTTTAATACTTGTCTAAATTAGTATTTTATTCATTTTATAATTTTATACTAGAAATTCTAATTAGTTCTAATAAAATTGTTCTTCGTTTTGATATATGAAATTATTGTGTATACTTTCTATATTATAATCTATATATTCTACTTTTTAAATTTTAAGAAAAATTGTTTTATTAAATTTTAACGAATGTTTATTTATCAAATGAAAAATTATTAAAGTATATATTTTTTTATAAACGAAAAACACTATTGATTTATTTAATTAATTTTGTACCATTAATGAAACATTTATAATAAGAAATTGTAAAATTGTCAGATTTCTTACAATAGAACAATTTACGATTTTCATTCATTTATTTTAATTAAAAAAGTTATTTCATAAAGAATTATTTTGAATTAAACGTATATTTTTACATATTATCTTTAAAATAAGTAAGTTTCATTATTTATCTATTTTATAATATAAACTAATTTATCGATTTTCTATTTGAGAATGTTGTAAAAAATACTGAAATTAATTAGTATAATTATAATACAAAAAATATGAAAAGTATAACTTATAATTTTATAATAATAACAAAATATGAATTTAGTTTCATTTTCATTTAGTATAGAAAATGACTATTTATATAAGATAATTTGATATATTGATTATATTTATTAAGTACATACTACATTTAGTTGATATTACTAGTAAATAAATATTAAAAGAAGCATATATTCATACAAATTTTTGAAGAAGATAAATTGAAATTTAATTAAATAAAATCAATTATTAATGTATTTATATTAGTCGACAAATATATAGCTTTACTAATATTTATGATTCTGTTTTTTTATATATCTTAACAAATTTAATTAAATCCATATTTTAATTTGTAATTTTTAACTTTATATATTTAGAACTTTCTTGAACTTATATAATAATGTTAAGCTGCTTAAAAATATTTCTGAAATTAATATTTTTCATTATTTTACTTAAAATTTCGCATAGTGTTTTCTTATATATCAATATGGATCAATTCAATTTTTTGCGATTATATTTACGCAAATTATTAATAATATTTTATAAATGTCTAATAATTATATGTGACAATAAAGAAATTATTATTTATTTTATATCTTATAATATTAAAAAAGCAGTTACTGAATGGTTTCATACAAAATTTTTATTATATTAGAGCAGCAATTTGAATATCTTTCTGAAATTTTTATTCGATTTCCCTCAACACATTTATTAAAATTGAATTTATTTTTAAGATTACTTTTTTACAAATCCATTAGTTAATCTTAAAAATATATATTTATTATAAATATATAAATATGTATTATATATTTTATATAATATTTATATAATTATAAATGAAAATATATAAATATAAATGTATGTTTATAACAACGAAATTGATAGTTATTTTTGTGGTACTATCAAATTAAATTTAAAATATATTTTTTTTATTTGTAATTGATTAAATATAATATTAATAATAATATTAATAATAAATATATTATAACATTTAAACTGCGTACTTAAAAATTCCCGTTAAATTTAATTCTAATATTAATAAAATTCTTATTAGTGAGCTAATGCTAACAATATAAAAAAAAACAATTTTTTCAGTTTAGCATATAGAATATTTTATACAATTTTGAGAAAATTTATCTGATAAAAATAACTGTATGATATAAGTAGAATAAATAAAAATTATATGTTAATAAAATATCAAAATATAAACTTTTTTAACTATGTAGTATAAAATTGATTTTAATATAATACCTGTATTCAAGAATTAATAACTACAAATTATTGAATTAAAGTGTATATATATATAAAATAATATAAAATATAATATATATATATATAAGAATTTGCTTGTTAATTCTTAAAATTTCTAATTAATATTTATGAAAATTATAATATATAGGTATTTTATAGATATATATTTTTATGATTATGTAAAACTAAATTATATTAAGTGTAAAAATAAAAAAACCGATTTTTTATTATATATAAAATTATAGCTAGACAAATATAACGTAATATACTCGAATATTTATTTACGTACTTTGTACAAATTAATATAGATCATTCATATAAATACAATATTGAAATCTAAAATAATACTATCAAAGGAATTGCCCAATTAATGTGGTATAAACTAATTTTTAAATTAATTTTAAGTTGTTAGGAAAAAATTGGTGTGAAGTTAAAATGTCTAAAACATTATTTTTTTATTCTGAAATACAGAAAAAGCAAATACATAATACATATGACAGGTATTTTATAATGAATATAGAAATTAATCTACTCATGAAATAGCAATATTAAAAAGATATAATACATTTCATTTAAAAAATATTTTTGGTAAAAATATAAAAAAAATAATGTAGGAACTGTATTATTAAGAACTATAATTTTTTTATTTTTATATGTATATATTTTATAAAATATAATTCATAGAAAATTTTTACAAATAAAAAATTGATAAGTAGTGTGTTAATTAAAATATATTAATCCATTGATCACTTTATCAGTAGCAAAACATGATTAAATTAATATTAATTTAAATAATTTCTTTAATAATTAGTATTTATTTATCTATCAATTTAACAAATCTATTTTAATAATAGAAATTATAAAACTGACATATAATAAACATAATTTATACGTATTTATTATATGAAATGTTTAATATGAAATTTTGAATGTAATGCACTTATAATTTTCAATATTTTTTCTATAAATAATTATTACAATAATTATATAATTCTAATAAATTGTGATACAGATTACAAATATGATGAGGTATTTTAATTTCTTTTGTACTGCCTTTTACATATCAAAATTACTTGCTAATCTACATTAAAAATTGTACTTATTATTATACATTTTTATTGTTGTAAATTTATAAATATAGAAAATTTGCTAAATAAAATATGTCTTATTGTATTTATTTTATTTACTTTAATTATACATATATTAAATTTGGTTAAAAACGAACTATATAAAGTTTTATAAATATTTTATGAAATAAACATCATTTTAATACATGGTAATGAAATGAAAAATATTAATTATTTAGTATTAAAATTCATCATCAGTGTGATTTACTTTAGTTATAGCATGTTTTTCTTCGATGTGCTTGGAATTAAATTCTTTTACATCAGGATCAACTGAATTTAGCAAATCTTCATCATCGTCATCATCTATATTATCAATTAACAAATCACTATCTGAATCAGATGATCTAATACTTTTATCTGGTTCCTGGATGGTTTCTTGATGATTTCCAGACATACTACCAAACAATCTACGTTGATTTAGATTAATTCTTGCAGATTTTCTTATATCTTTAAAAATTATGATATATATAGAAATTATTTTAAAATTCGTTGTTTAAATATAGATCTATCAATTTCATTCAAATATATTAGTTTATGTGGTACAATATTAATATTTGTACGTAATTTTAAAGTATTGTAAAACGAAATATTTTTGAGTGGTTTATTAATAATAAAATTTATTATATTCAATATTATGTATAAAATAAAATTTCATAATATTCAATATTTTCTTAATTTTACTTTTTAGTTTATCTTTAAATAATTATAATATAATTATTCATAAATATTCTTTTATAAAAATATTAGGTGAAAATGTAGTTGCTTTTAAAATTTTTCTATATACCTTGGTTAGTAATTTTTATAGAATCCTCTCCTTTACTAAGAGCAAGTGAGTTTTGAATATTCGTAGAGAATATAGAATCATGGCTCTCTATTATACTATCAATATTTGCATCATCAATACGCAATTGTTCTAATTTCTTTTTAGTAGCAGCTTGTCTGTTCGAAAGTTAATAAATAAATAAACAAGAAAATATTTTATACTGCAATATTACAAATTGTATACAAATCATCAATGAAATTATTTAAACCTTCGTTCAAATCTTTCTTGCTCTAGTTTAGCTGCATCTTCGAAAAGATGTTCCAAATATGTTAAATAACGAAATTTTTGAAGATAATCACCATATAAGAATTTCAGTTCAATTTCGAGTTTTTCAAATTCCTCCATAAATGCAGGACGAACTTTACGTAGAGTTTGAAGTCTTTTCTGATTTCTGTCTAACTCTGTTTTACGTCTATCAATTCTGATATCCAAATTTTGTTCCCTATCCTTAGATATATAAAAATATATATAAACATAATTTAAGTGATTTAATATTAAATATTAGTCAAATCAATGTGTAATATGTTTGCATTTCTTATGAAAAATTTATATTTTAATGACCTTGATATTTTTAATTTCAGTTATTGTTTCTTCAATTTCTTTTCTAGTATTTAAAATAACTTCTTTTATAGCATCTTCAATTTCTGAAGGGTCATATTGACTAGTAACTTTGGAAGTTCGAATTTCTCGTAACTTCACTTCTCTCCCTAAAAGATCATGCAGAGCTGCACCATTGGTTGTCAATTGACTTGCCAATTGTTTAGTCATTTTTAGATCATTTAATTTATCAGTTATATCGAAATTTATAGTAGATTGATGTTCCAATTGTAAATAATCTTGTGTACTTTCTAATTGGGCCTCATAAAGTAATGATATCATTTTCAGTAATTCTTTCACTGCACAAGCATCAGCCATGTAAAGTTGTTTTATATTAAGTCTTATATTTATCGTTTTTATCTAAAATAAATAAATAGTATTTACTTACGAAATTTTAATACTATATTTTTATTAATAGTAAATAAAGCAAATGATTAAAAGAATTCTATAAAGAAAAATCCAAATGTTTTAAAATTTAGGGATTTATATGTATTGCAGTTAAAAAGAATTAAAATTCACAATGAATTAAAAAACATTTTGTATAAATTTAAGTATTTGTATTATAAAATTATCATATCTCTTGTCATTTTTTTAAAAATGAAATTATTTGTACTGTAGTGTATTTTAAATATATTAGAATATATTAAAATTTATATAAATAAATATAAACTTGCATATACATTAATATGCACATACATTTATATATATATATAAGAATATTAAAAGATTGAACAATGTTTATAAAATGAATACTTACATGAATAAAAATTTTGTATCAGAATTTCATGGTATATATGTTTTTAGTAACATAAAAATATTAAAGTATAATAAATATGTAAATACTCATAAGGAAGAATCATATTCTATAAAACGGGCCATTTTTAAAAGTAGCATTATTAAACACAACTTTAATTTGTAATATTTCGCTGAATACAAACCATGAATTCAGCAACACAATAAATAAGGGCGATTCGTTCTTCTTCAGTATTGTGATCATTGCTTATATTAGTATTATTATCAAACCGTTTTACAAGCCATAAAAGTATTTCTGCAACCAAAGGAAAATTTGGATATTGGAAATTGGAAAGAGAAATCAATCTTGGATAACCCAAAACCCGCATCATTTCTGTAAGATCTATTAAAAAAATTCAATATTGACTGTAATTAAATATAATAATGTTCCATATAAATCTAAGTAAATAAATACAAACTTCTTAAATCATGAAAAGACATTTTTATATAAGATCTTACATAAATTTTCTAAATAAAATTGTTAGTATATTCTTTATTTTTGTCTTTATATTTTACTTCTTACAACTAAATGTTGTCATAGTGATGCACAAGTAAATATAACCTGTAATATTAAAGGTATTATAAAATGAGAATACTAAAAATTAATAATCTTTTATTAATCTCTATACTTCATTTAATTATACATAATCTGTAGTCAAATAAAATTTAATCAGTTTTTATAATTATTTGTCTATTTCTTTTTACATCTGATCGTTTCCTCTTAATAAATACTCGTTCTTGAGCCGCTTTAATCTGCCTTTGCCTATATTTTTCTTGTACATAAATTGTTGGTTGTTTGGGTATAATAAACAAATCTTGTATCATTTTTCTAAGTTTTTGTAAAGCATCTGCTAAATTCAATTGCTGAGATCTTGTTAAATCAGATTTTATGATAAGATAGCCATCTTTGTTTATATTATTTTGATACTATATAAAAGTTAAAAGTTTTTGCTTATTTAAATAGTATTTAAAGTTTACAAACAGATAATTATAATGAAATGAAATTTGTTATATATATACATATATATATTTATATATATATATATATATATATATATATATATATATATAAATTAATCATAAAATAATATATGTCCACAATTATATGAAGTTTGTTTTGATTTTCATTTTTTCTTTTTAATGATGAATTATAAATATATATTAACAATTATGTATGTGTGTGTAGTAGTTTGTCTTTAAAAGTTAACTAAAATAAATAATGAATTATAACCTTCATAAATAATTTTTGCTTTATTTCATCACTTATCCAAGAAGCATTCTTTATTTTAAATCTTATATCTACTTTTGTATTGACTCTATTCACATTCTGTCCTCCTGGACCAGTACTTGAGCTATATGTTACATCAATTTCTTTTAATGGTATATACCCATTAAAATTTTCAATAGAATGTTCTGATGCCTGTATATTTATTATATAAAATGATTAGAATTAAATTATTATTAAGTATATTCGTTTTAAAAAAGTTAAAAAATATATAAGTATACAGTTACTTATACAAAGTATACAAATACAAACACATTGTTTAAATATCTTTCAAAATTATTTAAAGATTAACTTACAATAGTCGGTGTGTACAAATTCAAATTACTCATTGGATACAACTTTTCTAAGCAATAAGCACTTTTAAATGCAAACATTTGTAAAAAATATTTATTATAAGCTTGATTTACTATTTTCAATTTGAATGGCTTCAAACATTGATCTATTATGTAATTCATATTTAAAATTTTATTTTAAAATTAATTTTTATATCTTTACAGTACGTATATGTATATATACAAAATAAATCTGAATCACTCCGTGTACATCGTATCATTACTCCAAATATACAGAAATGATGTAACCTCATTGGTACCTTTAAGCAGTTAGTTACAAACTATGGAACACTAGAAACTAGATGAAATTATCAGGTTATTTCTTTTTATCATATTGTATTGAATATATTATTATAAAAAAATCATTAGTTTAATATAATTTTTTATTTTTGTGTTTACCGTGATATTAAGTTCAAAGAAAATAATTTTATGTGCATGAATATAAATTACTATTTTTAAAAAAAAAGATCAAACAATTTTATAAATTCTACGTAATTTTACCTTTATTTTTTATGTTTTTATGCACTTATTTGAATTGAATTTTCATTGCATAAAAAAAACTTATTGGAAAAATATGAAAAAATAATAAAGTAAATATAAATAAGATAAATAATTTTAATTAATTCTAAATTAAACAAAATCAAATATTTAAACATTATTTTAAAATTTATATAACATGATTTGTAGAAGTTACGTGCACTTATTTTTTATTCGAGAATTTAAGTTCATTTGACATACACGAGTGGCTAAGTCATATTCTCATTTAAAATTTGACCTCAACTAATAATTTAAAAAATCTTTATCTTTTGTATTATATAGTAAAGTAAGTCAAATTTCAAACTATATTTCGATAATTATTCATAAATAAATTATAAATAATTGACATTTATATCGTATAAACAAAAGAAAAATATTCTCAAAGTACTGGACTTTGTATCGATAGTAATTTTATGCAAAAATTAAATGCAAAAAATGAAATTCACAATATTTGTATACATTTAAGCATAAGAAAAGAACGAAAAGGTTGTTTTAAAATACATTATATTAAAAAAAATTTAAATTTAAATTATTATTTACTTTTCTAATTCACCCCAATTATTTAAAAATTTTATATTTATTTATAAATATTATTAATTTATAAATGAATATCATTAAACAAAATACAGATGCTACAAACTAAATAAATATAACCTATCGAACTCTTATTTAATAAAAATTCCCGATGTAATAATAAATGTAACTATTATAACAAACTCTTATTATGTACATAAATATCAAGTATAACTATTATATTTTTAATCTTAGCTTTTAATGATGACAAAATGCTTGTAATTATATTTACTGATAAATACTTATGTTTTAAGTTTAAATAAAATTAGATTTATGAAATAAAATGTCTTTTCTAAAAATACAATCATGTCAAATTTTTAAAAATAATGCTTTAGATTAAAAAACTATGTATGTTATTCATTTGATTATTATTTAGCGTCATAATTAATTTCACAAGTTTAAAAGGTATTAATATTTTACTACTAATAGTTAGTCATATTTATGACTACTTTTTATAACTTTATAATTAATATAACATGGAATAAATTAACCGAATATATAAATTTATTATTGAACGATATAGTGTTAATTCATTGTTATGTAACTTTGCTAACTAATTTAATTGTTCAATACCTTGATTAATTATATTTATTAAATTTATATTAGCTGTAATATATCAATTTTATATTTTCAAAACTTAAAATAGAAATTTACTTTTTAACGAATCTGTTCGGAATTCCAGTCACCTGGTTGTCGAGAGACCAAGATAATTGAATTAGACCATGCTCAATATTTTACTGGTGGCAAAATGTGAATAAGTGAGAGGTTAATGCTTCAATTCAGTAATCAACACAATTGGGTTTCGTGGTATTTATTGAGTTTGAAGCATAAACACACAATATGATTATACGTTGGTGTGGGAATCGTTGAATTGTAAACACAAGATTGATTCTTCGTTGGTGTGAGAATCATTGAATTATAGCCACACACAGTATGATTCTATGTCGTTGTGCGAATCCTTGAATTATAGCTATACACAGTATGATTCTATATTATGCGAATCGTTAAATTACACGGAATTAACGTGCACTATAAATAGAGGTCGGGGGTTGTAAATTTCCAGTTCCCCTTATTGTAGTGCACTTGGTGGAAGTTGCTACACTCAGAAATGCAAGGGTGTAAATCCTGGACACTCTTTGTATAGGGCCACGTATGGTACCTTAGGTATGAGTCTCTTCTTAATGATAATACAGGAATTAAATACGTCAGTATGTTTTGGCAGTATTGTGGCATTTGTCGAGACGCAGTGAGCGTTGTCTCCTTAATTTGTAGTACAACACAGATTATAATGACGTCTGACAGAAGGCGCAACTTCAACGACTCGTCCGGAGATCAAGATCTGAAGACAGTAGTTGTGCAGAAAGCTCAGCGCCTCGTCCGGAGTGTGTGTAGTGGCTCCTTGCGGTTTAGTGCGTCTCCGATTAGCTGACTCAAGAAAGAATGCCGGTGCTTGTAGCTGGTATCTATTCGTACACCTTCAGCCATTCGCGGGAACTTTGCGATGGCATAGTGTCTATCGCGACTGGTGCATTCGCACCATCAGTGCCGTACGAGGCCGGAGCGTTTGCGCTTTCAATATATTGCTTCTCGTTCAATTACATTCACAGAAATTCATTGTTTTACCTAAATTTTGTCATGAGTGCGTCGGTGGTACGCTTCTTATTTAATATTCACTCTTGTAATGCAATCAGCAGTCTTGAATGCTTAACTATGGCACACATAAATGATTATGGCTTCATTGTTGGCTTACTAACTTATTATTGCAGAGTCTGGCAGAATTATGTGCGTATATTTAGTAAAACTGACTGACTAGTATAAGACGGAGTTCAGTTGCTGTGTAGAGTAATAATTGATAACTGATTGATTGAGAAACTTACAGTGAGCCTACAAAAGGAAACTGAAGTCTTAGTCGTTTTGTGGCGGCTCTGTTGAGATATATCGCCTATTCCATGGCGGTCTTGCTAAGGCAGACCGTGATCCGTGCCATGGCGTATTCACTGAGAGAATTTAACTAAGAGAGCGCTAGGCTTGTCGCGTGCGTCCTTTAAATATGCGCACGGCAGATTACTTAGCTGGCAACAATGCATAGGTGTTGCTATGCCGAAAGTCTTGCATGTAGCCAGGATTCAACATCTAGAATGTTCGAGAATTGTAGAAAAACAAGGTTCTACAAATTTTGTAGAATTCAAACGATGTTACTGTGCGGGAACTAGATAAACATTATAGGACGTTCGCAAGCAATGGCTTTAAATGATCGAGAAATTTTGCGAGCTAGAACGATTACAAATTTTGGAGTATTAAATTTCTTGTAAAGTGCTCCAATCCTGGATAGAATGCAATATTTAGAATACCAGAAGGAAGTTTCATTATTAAATATTTCGATGTATTTTATATGATGCAGTTTCAATTGTATTGTAAATAAAAATATTCACGTATGTTTTTTTTTAATATGGGAGCTTCAAAGTAATTTAAATTTATATCATAAAATAAAATTACATAATTGATTATAAATAAATAATTTTATTGGATATCGATATACATTAGTTTTTAATGTATATTAATTTCTCTAGTGATAATATGCCTTTTAGGGTGAATAAGCAATAGTGGAGAAAAAAGCATGAAGTTTAATATTTAGTTTAGTATTAAAACAATAATTTAAAATAAATAAAACAATTAGAACATTGTCAATTAAATCAATCGATTTATATATTACAACATAGTTGTTTTGGTATTGAAATATTCATATATTTCACTATATAAAAAAAAAATGCATGTCTGATATTTACTATTTATTATATTATTATTATAAAAATTTTATTCTAATAAGACTGTTCTGTTCTATGATGTAAATTATCAAAAATCATTTTTATACCTTTCGTTCCATAATATAAATATTTTATGAGAAAATGAAACGATGTCTTTTGTTACTTGTAACAACAGTAATCATTAAAAGAACTTCTTGTTTAATAAGTAATAAAAAAAAATTATTATTTAGTAGACATTTCATCAATGTATGTTGTATATATATATATATATATATATATATATATGTTGTATATATTAAGCTTTTCATTTTGTATTTTATTATAATAATTCAATAATTAATTTCAATAGAATTAAATTACAGGAGTTTGTTAGTATATGGTAATTTGCTTTGATAAGAAAGTAGATCTAAGAAATTATATATATATAACCATTTTTGTTATTCATTAATAAATCATCATATCACTCATAGATTTTCTTTGAAATTTATTTTTTATATTGTAATCTTAGAAAATAATGTAAATTCGGTACTAATATTATTGTAACTGAAATATAAAAAATATAATTTTTATATTGAAATAAATATTATAAATAAAGAATATATTTTTCTTTGTTAGAATTCCATAGATCCATATATAAATAATTTTGAATGTATTAGTATTCAAAAATAGAAGAAAATAACAAAATATATTAATACAATACTAAATTCATTATTTAATAAATACTGTATCTTTTAACGAAAGTATGAAGCGCCAAGTACACTTATTATATATAAACAAATAAAAAATCAGTTGTCATTGGATAGTAGTTATTGTCAATATTGATTATACTTGTTGTTTCAAAGCACTATTGTAATATGAAAAATCAATAACCGATATCAATATTATAAATTATACTTTGTATTTCATTTTAATTAACATAAAAAATGGATTTAGATGTATAATAATCAACAAGTTTATCCTAATATATGAAATTGCATCTTAATTATGTTCTACATACTTTCATAAAACTTACATTAATTGTATTTTAATGAAACATATAATGCACATATTTCAAAAGATTTTATTCAATTACTTATTTATACAAAATCATAGTGTCAAGAATGAGCACAATACCACAAAATTATAACTTTTTGAAGATATATAAAAGTAGATACTTTGTAAAAATCAATTATTTATAATAAATAATTTATGATGATAAAAATATTTTGAACTCTTCCTCAGCTTCCCATTTCTAAACACATTTTGGTATTAAATTCTTTTCAATTTAGTGTCTTTGTGATTCGATTAAGAAGCGTTGCAGCGAAGTCAAAATTTTGGACAATCTGACAGCAATCACACAAAAGGTACACACGAGAGTTAAAAATGAGATTGCAGGCGTAATGATCACGAAGTTTTTCAAAGAAGCTACACAAGTAATTTAATTGTTACTTTGTTATTTAATGTTATTAATTTGTTATTTATTTATAATATTGCTTATAATGACAATAACAAGGTACATTTAAATTGAATAAACCATATCATTAATAAGTATAATTTTTATTGCATATAATAATTATAAATAATTAACATTTAATAATGTACTTAAAAACAATATTGAATTTTGTATGCAAAAAATGACAATAATCATAATTAAAAAGATAAAATTTTATTTTATATGATTTTATTTATTTTTGAAGTAATATATTTTTTCTAGAATGTAAATTAATAATTGAGTTTTAAATTGAAATATGTTTACTTTTAATTTCTTTCATACCATAATTTTTTAATAGTACTTACTGATCTAATTTTTCCTCAGTAGCGGTATTATATATGTGTCTTTTTTATTTGTTTTTTAATAATTAATTTACCGCGATTAAGTGCTCAATCATGCTCAACATATCTTAATATAATTTAGAACATCCACATTTTGTATATAATCTAGTTTGATTTTATATAGAATAATTTAATTTCATATTGTTGGAATTAGTAAAAGCACGTTATATTTGAATATATTTAACAAAGTTGTATTTACAATTTTTCTTTAATTCTAATTTAATTCTTGATTACATAAATATTATTTAGAGTTTTCTTTCATAAGAACCAATAATTTGTTATATTTGACATATTATTTTTGGAAATATTCATACTTATATTTTAATACGTCATTATTATACTTCTGATAAAGTTAATATGTAAGACATCACTTCTTTATTTATACAAAATACTAGATAAATATATGTTACTATATAATATCATATTAATATATGATAAATATATGATTATTTGTGAATCTTATTTGTTTTTTTTTATAACATGCACATAATTTGAAAGTAATTATTATTTGACGATGTATAAAACAAATTATTATTTGTTCTGAAATAATACTTAATATTTACTATTATTATCATCAACCTTTCAAATATTACGATTCTATTTTTAAAGCATTGAGAAAGTTGTTACTCATGTTTTTATCTACATCATTCATTATATATAGAAATTTCGTTTATAATCTAATAAAATAGAATATAAATTATATGAATAACACGAATAGTAAATAATATGTATAATATAAATAGTCTCATCTAAGTTATATCGAAATATTTATATTAAAATTATATGTAACCATTAATTATATAAAATTATATATACACAACGATATATCTATCCGCTTTTGTAAAAGGTTTCTAAATTATACAAAAATATATTTATTAAAGGCATTTAACAAATAAAAATGTAATATTCTTTACTTATTAATAGAAGCTAGTGTCTAATTTTATAATAAAATCAATAATATAAATTTTTTTATCAAATACATTCGCATTATATTTGTCTCAATTCTTAATGACTTATTATATTCTCAAAATTTAAGGAAAAGTATATCTACAAATACATGTAAATTAATTATATTATCTCGATTGTAAATTAATTATAAAGTAGTAATAAACGTATAAAATTATTAATTAAAAGTAAGAAAATTTTAATTTAAAAAATATATATTAATTAATAAAATAAAAGAAAATCTACGTATACATTAATTATATTATCTAGATTTTCAATTAAACTAATAAAATATTAATTAAAAAAAAGTATACACATATCTGTACATTATAAATATATATATATATATATATATATATATATATATATACACTATTCATTTACTACATGGTCATACATAATTTTCAAAGCATAATGCGTTTAAATTAATAATTGCAGAATCTGCTAGATCGCTGTGGTTATTACTTAATTAAAAATTTTGAAATATCAATAATTATAAAATGTATATAGAATTATAAAATGTTATCAATGTTTTCATTTGTGTAAGATTTATTAAAAAATCTAGCTATTTGAAAACAATCATTTATACTTTCTCAAGACTAATAGTTATGTTTTATCGTTACAAGTTTATTATAAATTAAACATTAAAATGTTAAAAACATATAGTTAAATCAGTATTTATTTAAATATTATTTGAGTCAGTGCATTTTTTGTAATTGTGTTTTTGTACAAATTTATTGTAGTATTAATAAAATTTTTAAATTATCACAGGCATCATATGTATATTATAGAATCTTTTATAACTTATTTAGTTACACATTTTGTATATTATTAATAAAAAAAATTCAGGGTTAAAAACTATTGATTGAAAAAAAATTATATAAAGTTTATTTTTATATAATATCTGAATATGAGGCTTAATTATCGACATTAAGTGCATTATATAAATTTTACAGATTGTTTTATTATAATCAGATTGAAAATAAAACGAAGCTCTCTACGGTATGAAAATAATGAATTATGAAATAATATTTTTTTTCTATTTACTATACAGAACAACACAACTTATTTGTTCCAATTATAGAATGTTCTTAATCTTTCTTTTGCTTTTTGGCAAATGCTTAAACTATTTTGATTTACTATCATTATAGATTAATTTTATGTTTCCCAAAAATATTTCGTAAATACCATGGCAATTAAAATAATAAGTTTATAATATGCTTAAATACTCAGAGCAATTCATTATTTGCTGTGAATAAATTTCTAAGAAACTTTATAAATAAAGTATAAATTTGTTAAATGAAAAATATATAGTTTCTATTCTTATAATCTCAATAAAAAGATATTTTAACAATATTTAATATACAGCAATTATTTCTACGATTAAAAACTAAATTTAAAGAATTCTAAATATCTTGATTAAATTACAATTCTTTTAAATGTCGAAAATAATACATATATACGTTTGATCAATATTATAAACGATGATATAAAATAATATAAACGTTTAAAACTAGTTTATTCTGCGTACTTCCATTGCTGCAATATCGTCTACTGATATAAGCTTTTCTATAGGGATACAAGAAAGTTCACCACCCACACAAGACTGTGGTTGCTGCCATCGGGCTTCCCTTTCGGCTTCTTTTGCTTTCACTTCGGCTTCTCGAGCTCTTCGTTCCTGAATTATAATATATATTTTTAATGTAATAATTAAAAGATAATCATCAATAAACTAAAAATTATATTACATCTATATAGACAATGAGATAACAAATTTTGATAAAATAATTAAATTTCAATATATATTTTTTAAAGCAAGCAAACTAATGAAACTCATCGTTCTTCTAAACTATAAAATAAAAATATTCTATTATACGTTATTTTAATTCGTTTAAGATTTATATATATATATATACATAAATTTTTATGAATATTATTAATATTAGATATTATATACAAAATGAATTACCAATCACATAATTATAAAATAAAGTACACAGGTCTAACATAACTTTGGAGAAAATCACTTGTATTTATACGAAGAACTGTTTTACACTCTAATAAGAAAAATGTATTTGCAATAAGAAATCAATCTAAATACATTATAATATATAATTAAAATTTTAAAATACAAATATCCGATATTTTAAAACAGTGATAAACAAATATTAGAAATTCTAATAATTAAAATAATGTATTGTTACAGACATTTTTCAAAGAGTAAACAACTAGCCTACATATTTAATAATGATTCGCTAACAGTTAGTACTGTAGAAAAGATAAGTTTAAAAATAAGAGAATGTTTAAAAAGTATTAATAAATATACAGATTTATATTCTATTTTTTCAGGTAATAATCTAAATATATTTAGGGACATAACAGTTTTAAAAACTAGTTCCAGTTAATCTATTTCTATTAAACTATTGGTTTCGTACAGGTAGTTACAGAACGTTTTTTAAAGACTACTTATTTATCTAGATATATTAATAAATTCTTTTTATATATATCTGTGAATTTTATCAAGAGAAACTCATTAAAATTTAAAAAATTCTTCTTTGATTAAATGATAAGAAATGCTTAAATTAATATCTATTTTCAATGAGAAAAGTTTAGATTTATATATACTTGAAAATTGAAAAAGTACTGAATTTATGAATTGACGATTAGAAGACTAAGTTAATTAGTAAATCTAAATAAAGTTTCTCAGTTTGTTTTTGATATGACAAAATTATATATATTTTTAGTAGTATATTAAAAAATATATTTTTTAGTTTGATGACAAATTAATTTATATCAATACATAAAGTTTACGATAATTTGAAAAATCTATTCCATAGTTAAACATTTTTTACAAATTATTTTATAATGATATACAATATTTCTAGATCTTAATTTATAAATTGCTTCAAACCTTTAATTTAAGCGAAAATATTGCAACAGATCGAGCTCTTTTCATCAGACTTTGCTTTACTCTAGACTTTTTCGCCTCTCGTTCCTCCTTCAAAGACTTTTCATCTTCTTGACTAGATATTGTTTTACTTGAATCAGAAATAACATTACGTTCCTTTTCTTTTTCATATAGATCTAATTGACGATCACGATGTTCTTGTACAGAATCACGATGTAATTGATACTGTTGCATCTGTTGTAACTGTTGATGATATTGGTGTTTGTCGATCTTTTCACGCGCTTTCTCTTTTTCTGGAGAAATATGAACCTTTTGATTTTTAGTTGAAGGTGACAAAGGAGGAATTGTTCTGAAATAGATAATATAAATAACTATAGTTATTTAAAAAAGAACTATATATTATTACATTGAAGTGTGTTATGTATAATTGTTAAGAGTTTATTTAATATTTAGTACTATAACATTATTTTATTCACATTCAAGACTTTTAAATCATGCTAGATACGATATATTATTTTTTCAAATTTGAATAATAACGTTTTGCTATTAGACATTTAAATATTTATTTATTTACCGAAGAAGATTACTATCTAAAGATGCTATTAAATCCTTAGTGGTAATACAATCAGTTGACCTATGTATAATCATTTCATCTGCACTATTACCTCCAAAGTCACTAATTTCAGAATCACTTGATTTTCGTCCTCCGCTTTCTAAACCCAAACGTCGAACCCAATCAATGCCACCATGAGGACCAATTGTTAAATGATGACTGTAATCTCCGCAACCTAATGATTCTTGTGCACATGTTATCCATTCTCTCGATCTTCGTCCTACAATCATTACAATTATAAATGTAAATCAAATTGTATAAATGTATCTTTTATATATTTATGCAATTTAAATAAAAATAACCTGAAGTAATAAATAGTTAAATAATATTATTCAAAAAATTATTTGTATTCAACTACTTTTGATGGACATGTATATTATATAGATTTAGTATTATATGTAATTTTTATGAAAATTAATATATAAAATTCAATAGATAGTTGAATTATTGCAATACAATAGAATTAATAAATATTAATGAGCACTAATATTAATATATAGTAATATTAATATTAAAAGAAAATTCATTCTTTATCACAATAAATAATAAACCTTGTTATACTATTCTTAGTCTGCTAAGAATATGTAAATTCAATACACAAAAATATAGATTTCCTAGATCTGTGTTAAGCAATTGATGTTTTTTTAATTTTATACAAATTGTTTTAGAGATCAATGAAATTATCTGTTTATTAATGTTTTTATGTTTTCTTAAATATGATTATCTCATCGACTCGTTATTGATATTTCAATATTTTAATAAAAATTTATTTAACCCAAGCATTATGTCCTAATTTTATATTTTCATGTATATTTATGTAGAACAAGTTAGCATAATATAAAATAATATATATAAATTTTATCGAATTCTTTTAAAGCCGTTGAAAATTATTTTATTTTTCTATTTTAATATTCGAATGACAATTTAATATTACAATTACAGTGAATTGTTAAAATTTCGTTTCTCTTCTTCCTCTTTCGGTACCTATATATATATAATTTGTTTTAGTTAGTTTAGATTTATTTTAAAATTATCAGTTTATTTACTTGATTTTTTTTTAGTTTATTTTTGTTATTTTAATACTTTAATAGTTTATATCCATATTATTTACATTAACATGACATCTATTATTTTTTAATTAAATAATCGTATTCAGTTTATTTAAAAACTATGTATAATCAAACCTTATTTTAACAGCTTTTTAAATATAATTTCTTAACATATTAAAATAAACTTACCTTTTTCCTCTCCAGGAATACTTTCTCTGGATACTGGGTTAAAATTTTTTGAGCTTCCTACAATACAATCTGCCAAAAATGCACTGCTGCTATCACTTCCACTTCCTGTACTACCAGGAGTTTCAGGCGGTATCGTTGGCGTTTCAGCGATCCTTGGTATTATTATCGAACCATGACATACGGCTGTACTACTCGGTGTTTCTAGTCTACTGGGTGTTTCTGCACTTGAAGATAACAGCGTATGTATATTTTGTTGGCTGCATCCACGGAAACTTGTTCGAGCACTTGCCAATTCCTCAATGGTATGCTGTTGTCTTTGTTTGAACTCCTCTTCCACATCGGAAGCTGTGTCTGCTGGACTCACCACGAATCTTCCTGAATATTTGAGCGAGAGTAAATAAAATAGGTTGGAAAATGGGAATAGTAAATTGAGTTTTTCAGAAGAGTCATATGTATTCGATGAAGGTAGAATATAATTTATTCCATAAATTTTTATGTTTGGAAAACTTGAATTGAGGCGATCTACACAAGAATGAATGCTGTTGCTTTTATTAATTTTAATTCATGATTAATTTGAAATTTTTTTAGCAATAAATAATTATTATTTTTATTATTTTAATCTTATTGTTTAGCAATATTTCGATTATTTATATTTATATATGTAATACTGGATTAATAGTTGCATTTTATTTATGTTAATTTGTTCATGATTATATATTGTATATATTTATAACTTTTATTATAATAGTAAATTTAATAAAATTTAAATTTAATTTATAAATAAAAAAAGTTAAATTTAAAAAAGGTAAATCCATGAATAATATATATATAATTTGTAAATTAATCATTTATAGTAAAATAGTAAATATACAAAAATTTTTTGATATATTTTTTTTGTTTAAATTATAAACACAAATTTAATTCTCTTTAAATGTATATCTTTTTAATTTATACATTTTTGTTTCAAATGATAAATAAATATAATTCACTAGAAATATTATAATATCTTATAATTATGCTTTCAATAAAATTTAAATAATACTCTGTTAAAAATTAAAACATTTCCTTATATTTTCTGTTGTAAAATGTTATATTGACATTCTATCGAAAAGATATCTAGAATATTTTACAAAAATAGCAATAATGTACAAGTAATCCTTATTTACGATCCCTTGATTTCTACATCCCCATTGTAAGATGCAAATGATCGCCATTAAAGACGTAGATAGAAGATAGCTGGACTGCCAGGCATCTTTAATATCGATACAAAAGGATGGGAAAATCTTTAACAAGCGAGTATACTGTTATATGTTAACATGATATTAAAGACTGTTTAAAAAATAATATTTTTAATTGAATTTTTATTCTTACTTCATCGTCTGTCATTCTCTTAAAATATTTCCAACAAGTTATCAATTAATGTATATGCCATCAAACCAGTTTTATTATAAAATTTTTATGCCCTATAATATAATAAAAAATATATCGCATATTCTTTATTCTTAAGTGTACCGATGGTTGATTTATGTACACCTTATTTGAGATTCTACGTTATTATCATAATTTAGTTATACTTTAAATATAATATATGAAATGATTAATAAATATAATAGTACATAACATACTAAATAGACATATAATGTTTGTGGTATGAATTACATAATTATACGGTCCTTATGTATAATATAATGATTTAAAAACTAAGAGATAGAGATTAAATACAATGCATTAAAAGAGAAGTATCAAATCTATTCATAGCAATGTAGCGATAGATAAAGAAAATATCGGTTTCTATAAAAAAAAAGTATAAAAGAATGTTTACCGATAGAACTATAAAGTGAGGATTATTGGAAAAAAATTATCGAATGTAATATAATAATATTATTAAAATTTTATTGAGTTATTATTTTAAATAAATTAATTTTTGGTATTTTAATTGCATAATAGAATTTTTTACATAATAAAATTTAATTAATGATTATTCAATTATATTCATATAATCAAAAATAATTGAACCAATATTAGATATTAAATGTGAAGAGATATTTATTTGAAATTACTGAAGATAGTCTATTTGTCATATTTTTGTGTTAAGAAAATATACAACGGTGGAAATACTGTTTATTAATTATTGAAAATTAAATGTCATTAATTATCAATGAAATAAAAACAAATGAGTTCATTATCACAGAATTCAGTTTTCATTTTTTAAATAATTAGTTTACCATAAAAATCTATACAAGACAGAATTTCTGTTTTATATAACTTTTATTTATTTTATTTTTATTTGTTTTATATAAGCATCGATATTATTATAAAAAAATATATATAACACACCTATTACAGTTGTTGGTTGATGTTCCGATGGAGACGATGTTGATGATAATCTTCTGACAGCTTCTCTACGTAAAAATTCGACCTTAGCCATTTCTGTAGCCACCCAACTTGGTATATCAGGTATCACACAATTAATGATGAAACGTATAGCCAGCATTATGTGCTCTAATGCTACTATTAATAATATAGTTTGAGTTGCTGACATTTCAGGAAACATTCGTTGTACTTGTCCACTTAGACCAATTAGAGCACAATTGACTAATATTGCAACTAATCCCATTGCTTCCATTGCATTCTAAAAATGCAAATGTTTTTTTTCTCTTATTTGATTTTAAAATATTCTACTATGATCATAAATATTACTTTGCAGACAATATATAACAATTGATATAAAATAATTGATTAACAATGATAAAAATATTTAATGAATTTATTTAAAAGAAAAATTAGATTAAAAGATTACTATAAAATTATAAAAATATATTACTCTGTAGAATTAATATATATTTAAATTTAGAATTATAATTCTCTTTCTTAAAGTTTTATTTAGCTAATGCTTGGTCTAATGTTACCTGCCAAGTTCCAATATTTGATACACGTCGACCAAAAGGTCGCTGCAAGACAAAACACAATTTAAAAGCATCTCCTCGTAATTCCAGAAGATTTCCTAGTAGAGCTGCAAATGCAGCTAATGGAAATGCAGATGAGAAAAGGCATACGTAACCAAGTTGAGATAACATTTCTAAATGTTCCGAGAATGCACCGTCATACTAAAATTTTAATATTTAGTATATATGTTTACGAACTGTTAATTCTCTTTTATTGCAGATATTGCAGTTATACAATTTTTAAAATATATGGAAAAAATTTGCAATATTAATAATATTCTAAATTATTAATTAATTTTTCAAATAATAACAACAATAATGGTAATCTTAATTATTTTCATAATTTTCTATAATTATAATTTAAAATTGTATAAATCAAACAAAAGATATATATATATATATATATATATACATATACTTATGTAATATATTTATGAATAATTCATGCATGTAAAAGAAAGTTATTTATGTACAAAGCAAACAGAAAAATATGGTAGTGAAAGGGAGAATTGTTTTAATGTTTGTATTAATATTGAATTATTTTCAAAAAACAAGAATATTAAAAATTTGTATTTCACGATATATTTCTTGTAAATAAAATCTCTTTGAACTTGGATGAACATAATATTACCTTCTTCGGTGGTACCTGTGCTTCGTCGGTGGAGTCGATGAAAAACGGAAAAAAAACTATTTTAATCTGTAAAAAGGATCGATAAAAACACAAAAAAAAACATTCATCGCGCAAAAATGACGATAATAAACTTTGAAATATTAATGATCGCGAAAGAATGACGATTTACTTTCATGTTTATTTGAATGATTTGAATCAAGGCATAAATGATATAAGGCTCTTATGTATTAATGCATGCAATTAAAGTAAACATTTAAAGTAAAGTGACAGAGCTTTTTTGTTATTTTATCATTTTGATTGGTATCAATAGGTTATTTATCAAAATTGAAAACATTATTTAAAACAGAATTTTTAATTAAAAATTAAAAATAAATAATTATGCGTAATGATACTAAAAGTAATACTGAATAATATTAAATTTGTTTAGTTATATAAAATGTTAATAATATAAATAATAAATTAATGATACTACGACAGTTACTTTATAAATATAACTTTAGAAAAACTTGATATTTAATGAGTTTTAATAATAAGAAATTTTTTAAAATTTTTATTGAATTTATATAATTAATAAATTAATTATTTAAATTCTTATTATTTTAATCTCCATGATTTATATTAAATAAATAAAATTACGTAAATATTATTATAACTAATTTTAATATAATATCTAGTAGACATATTAATTTCAATCAAATATATTAATATCCTATTACATTAATAACTGCCAATGCCACCCTTAATATTGTATTTGAAGTAATTAATTTTATTTATATATTCAATATATGTACCGATGTAATTTATAAATATTAATCAATTTTTCATAATGAAAAAAATTATTTTATCAAATGCTAATCTTTTTTAACCTTAAGTAATTAATTTGTTTGTTCAATAATAATTTCCACTCACAAAAAACTTTCTTACTTTAAGTATTTACTGTCAAAAATTCGAGTATTTATTGATATCTTAAATAATCACGCGTGTAACATTATTTTCAAAGTAGTTAAAAATTACTATTAAAAGTGGTTAATCCAATTATTCTATTTCGTTTAGATCAAACCTTAAAAAAAACTTTGCTAAGTAGATAATTAGTTGGATGTCCTACTCTATAAAGCGAGCTTTCTAATTCTGCTTGGCTAACATTTCTAGGCTGTCTTCCTTTCAACTCCTTGTCATCCTCAGTTATTACACTAGGTGTTTTCTCTGACTCTTCATTCGTAGATTCTTCAGGAAGAAATCGAGCTTCGCTCGGACTGAGAGCTCCAAATAACTCAAAGCTTAAGCGAGCTAATCGAAGTTGCTCAATTACATAAGGTACTGCCGATTCTTTAAGATTGCTAATTACTTGTCGTGCAAGTAGCAAAGCTGCTAATTGCTAGAAACGAAGAATGCAATCTTATTTACATAAACTAATATCCATATATAGTATGTATAATCTTATATACACAAGAAAATATCTAAAAATTTACATAAAAAAATATTATTGAATTTTGAATTATTGAAAAGAACGAATTAGTTTTGTGAGTATGTCTATTATTTCTATAATTTTATCATTATTGTATATAATCTCTTTTTAAATAAGCTTAAATTTAACCTTTAAGATAAATATTCTATTTATTTCAATTTTATTGTTATAACCTTTTGAGATCAATAATTGTACAAAATTGTATACTTATAACATTTTAGATGTATACTTAAATATAATCTTCCATTACGAGGTAAATTTTTGACGTCATCATTAGGTTGTATAAACTTATTTAGCATCTTGACTAGGTCTTTTTTAAACTATAAAGTTATAATCACATTTTTTCTTTTTATAGCCATATTGTGTTGAATTATATGTGCATTTTCACCAAAATATATTATCATAATCTTAAATCTAATAGGCCATAAAATAATTAAAAAGTTTGTTCCATATTTTACAGTTATTGAAATTTGAAATTTTTTATTAATAATCTAATTATTTCATGTATACTAGATTTCTTACGTATATAGTATTTATTTCATAATTTGGACTTTTATTAAAGCAGTTTATTAATTTGTAATATTTATGTATACCTTGATCAAAAGACAACAATTATCACAAATTATATATATATATATATATATATATACATATTAAAAATTTTTATTCATTCATATAGTTAAATTATAAATAAAGTCTCATAATTGATTTATTGTTTCATCGTTAGTTGTCTAAAATCTTAAATTATATTACATGTTCTTAAACTGAGTCGACACTCATAGTTATTACGTTATCCATTTGGATCATTATATACTAGATTATAAATGTGAAAATATAAAACCTAGATACTTTCATTGAAAAATATAAAGATTATATCGACATAGTCATGGAATTCGCTTCTATACTATAAAAATAGTTTTTTAAATCAAAAGTACCTGAGTGTGTACTATCGTTTTATTTCTATAAATGCTCTGGGTACTTTTTAGCGTATTACCTTCTTATTAATAGTAAGATGTTCTATGTTAATTATTCTTATGTTTATTTAACCTATTTGATAACAAATTTCCTACTTCATTATGAACCACTCTCATAATTAAATTAAGAAATATTCGTTATATAAATAAGAAACATTAGAACATGTTCTTTAAGAAAAAAAGATTTCACTTTACATTTAAAGTATGGTTCACGTTCAATTATAGTCTTTTTTAAGAAGGCTAATTAGTTTCTTCGCTTCATATAAGTAAGAATGATAATATAAAAAAGCATATAAATTGCAAATTTAATTTGAAACACTGTCCTTTTCAGTCATTTATTTTGTAAATTATCAGTAAGTAAATCATATAGTAGCATCTTTATTAAAAGAATATTTAAAGTATCAGTATGTACTTGATAACAAACATACATCTAAATAAAATTATTTACGTATATGAATAATGCTTATAAATTATTAAACACTATAAAACGGTATTATAATTTTTGGTTGAATAATGTATATTATGATATTTAATTCTGTTTTTCAATAATATATATTTTCAATAAATGTCTTACCTCTTTAAGACGTTCTTGATCTTGAATATAAAATGCAATATAAAATAATGATAGGAAAGAGTTGACGAACTGAAACTAAAAATTAAACATTATTTTATTCAATAAATAACATATAAATATATAAAATAATTTTTGAAATATTAAATATAATGTATTCAACATAATTTTACTTTTAAATTTAACCTGTGTGCAAAATATTAAGTAAATTTTATATAATTCTTCTACATTTTATATCTATAAAAGTATATTATTTATGATAGAAATTGTATATTTACTGATATTATTAATTTTAATCTAAAATACTAACGTATTTTTAGAATGTATCTTATAAATACAAATTAATGTTCAAATTTGTAGATAACAAGAAATTGAAAATAGTTTTATTATATAAATGAAAATCGAATGAATTTTATAATATAATATCATATTTTGAAGTTAATAATATGTAAATTATGTACATAATGATTTATTACAAATACTATATATAGTCATACTACTTTTTTCTCCAATTATAATCCTTATTATTTTTTGTAATGCTATAATTAACAAATTTACATTTAGTGCATTGCTAATACATATATTTATACATAATTTGATAATGTATATTAATTTCCAGTAAATAACATGTTAATATATTTAAAACATAAATATATAATATAAACGAGTTAATAAATCTATGTATAAATAAAAAAGAATAAAAAAGTATTATTTATAATCGAATATTACAATAAATAATATAATTAACAATAATTTCAGTATTTATAAATATAATTGTATAATCCCTAAATTATAAATAATTTATTGATCTCAAATAATATAAAATCGTTTATTACCAATGCTACTTTGTAAATCAGATGATTTTCGTACTCGGTGTCTAGACGATAATTTTCTAAATGAAATAAATAAAAATATATATTATTGCATTTCTAATTGAAACATATTTTAATGTTCTTATAAATTAGATCCATCAGATAAGAAATGTATTCACTTCAATTATTAAACTTAATATTTATAATAATATTTTCTATTTTACATAAAAGTATAAAATGTACCTAAATCATTCAGCCATACAGCTATTTTAAAATAAGCTTCATCCATTATGGCAATAACAATGGCTAGAAGCACCTTTGGTACGTAACTTAACCAAAATCCATATTCAGCAACTTGTAGTCTTGCATCCCACCAATCCTTTGTACAAAAGTAAAACATATTTGATTTTAAAAAGTTCTCAATGTTAGATATATAATTAATTAATATATTTTCTAGTCATTACTTTATTCTGTAATACAATGTATTACCTGAATTTGAAAGCTCAGAATCATTACTATGAAAACAAAAAATAAACAAATAGAAACTATCGGTACACTAACGAAGTAGCGAAACATATTTCTTTTCCATTTTGGATAAATTGGTTCAAGTCTTCCTGTAACCGACGAAATTTCTAAGGTTCCCTGCAAGACAATAATTTTATATTTATATATATTCTTACTTCTTTATTTTAGAAAATTTATCTCGAAAATTATATACTAAATTCAATATGAACACCAAGTATATAATAAACTAACTCTTTATTGATATAGATAGATATAGATAAATGATATAGAATATCATTTTTAAATCTAGAAATAAGAGAATAAGTTACATTTTCATTTATGATTAATATATATATATATATTAAAAGCTTTTTAAAAATTACAGAAAAATATCTTAATTTATTTCTTAGATATCTATATGTTTGTGTATATAATAAACAAATTTATTATTATGTATTTACTTTGATATTTAATAAACAATTGACAATCTGATTATAAATATATGTTTATAATTTGTATATAGATTAAAATTAATTAATATATTAATATAATTATATAATTATTATATGATCATGTTCTAATATGTGTCTGTTCGATTTTAAAGGTTTGTTTTATGGCTCGAACTTAAAAGGAAATAATAAGTGGAAGGGCTGAAAAATATTATGTATTATGTATTTTTAGTAAAACAATGATTATTATTTGCTAAATATTATAGTAATATTGTACTGTTGTTGAGAGAGAAGATTATTCTATTGTAGTAATGAGGGTGTTTTCTTGTGTTCTTGATTATCGTAGATTCTATGGATATTACTGTGTAACTTGAATGTTGGGGTTACGCTGATGTAAACATTAACCTGTGTAGTCAATCATGCTCATGAGGTAGCATGAGAAGATGGTGTTTGAATCATGTATGCTTTATAGATGAATAACTTTACTTAATAGAGTGTAAAATGTTTTGATGGAAATTTGTGCGTAATCAATTATGATTTTAATTATGATGGAAACTGTAGAAATGACTTGAAGGACTTGATGAAATTTATAGTTTTATAGTATTAATTAACTAATAGAATATTAATAATTATTAATAATTAATAATATTAATTAATAGAAATATATAATATTTATAGTTGATTATTCGATATATTGTTGTCTGGCCTTGATGAATTTTAAAAACAAATGATAATTCTTAGTAATTTTTCCAGCGATGAATATCTGTATATTTTTTCTCAGCGAAAATTTGATTTAGTTTCCGTGGCCAATAATGTTGTACCGGATCTTGGTTCTTGTTGAAATTGTTTATCTCATGTAAGTTACGATGGTCATGATTCTGGCGATTTTGATCCGTGGTGGTCCGATCCACGACAATGGATGTTCTTAACTGCTGGCTAACCCTGTTTCCACGTATTTCTTTCAACTTGATGGATGGGACTTTATGCATGTGAGCGTTACCGTAAATCATTCCAGCAATGGATTGCCTTGACGTCCATTTTCAATGTGGCGAGGTCGTACTATATGAACCTTGTAGGAGTGATGCTGCAGCAAACTCTGGTCTTGGGATTCTCCTTGGCACGAGGAGTGTCTCCTTTGTCTTGGAATACATTAACATAGCCATTATTTTATTTTGTTCGTGCACTGATACGTACATGGCTGCCGACGTTGCCAATTTTTATGCATCAGAGAATCCATGTAGTTCTCTGTGTGAGGTGCTCCTTCTGTTGAGCGAACGTGGCATGTAGAGGTCGGTCAGGTTGGTGAGATCCCCTCTGGTTGTCAGCCATTGTGTAGAAGGCTGAGATTGCATCATCTTGTCCCGTTGAGCTTGTGCTATCATAGCTCTTGCTTGAATATGTTTTTCCCAATTGAATCGACGTCCTTTCTTTCTTGAATGTAAGCGTGTCCTGTTGAAGAGACCATTTTTTTATTTTGGTGTAGCAATCATCGAACGTAAACTGGGTAGTTTTCTTTTGATTTGCACTTATTGCGGTGATGACATTTTGGTGATTGCATGCCATTTTCCCAAGGGGGAACCGGCCGCCATGCGGGGATCTCGTAATTAAGCTGCGACTTCGGTTGCCTGTTTTGTGTCTGCATTTCCGGAAGTGTCATCGACATGTCTTCCATTAATGATGGTAGTTCTTCCCTCGTCCTTTATGAAATGAGTGGCCCTGAAAGTGTGCGTGCCAGTTGGCAACTGATGAAGTACTTCCCTTGTTGTTTGTCTATCCACAGTGTTCTCTGATGGTTTAAAATTATCCTTGCGAGTTTTGGTCTGTCTATACTCTTTAGTGGCATCGGTGGTGACAGGAAATATTGTTGTCGTCCGATCCAGATTAAAAACTCTGATGTGTCTATGTTAAAATTGGGTCTAATATGCATGATGTTGTTGAGTGAAGACCTGATGCTGATGTGCTAGAATTATTGAACACTACTCTTAATATGGTTGTGGAGCTATAAGGTTGAGCATACCATCATGTGGCAGATAATGTTGACATTGATGATTGGACGACGGAGGAGCTTTCATCATGTGATTGATTCGAACATATAAATAGTGAAATGGCTTCGTGAAGTGTTGAATCGCCTAATGAGTCTTACAATGATAAATGTCTGTGTTCAACCTGTATCAATTAGAAGACGAATACATACAGTAGTTGAGTTTGACAGTATTTAAGAACAAGGCTGTGGTTAGTAATGCGGTGGTATGCACTTGTATTTCGATGATTGCACCATCAACTCAGCTAGATGATAGGTTTTCACTTGGTGTTTGCACTGATGGTTCGAACAGTCTTTGGATTGATTTCATCGTGTAATAATGTGTGGTGCCGTCTGAAGCACTTCTTTCATTGTGTATTGATTCTGCATACATTAACATTGTGATTTCATTGACAGTTGAAGCATAGTCCTGTCTTTTTACTAGATTCTGTTTTCTATCATTGGCATGTTCATGAATTGTGCACATACAAGTGTTGACTGTGCGTGGGTGCAGCATTCCATTTGATGAGCTTGTGATTTTGTGCCGGGGGATTGGGCTTCGCGTTGTTCATTTATACTTGATAAATCCTTTATGATCTTTTGATATGTTGTTGTGGTCGCACAATGCTTCTAGATGTTTGTTCCTTGCTTTTGGGTTGAGTCTTCAATGGTCTTAGTTCCTTTAGTGTCCTCATAAGATATGTCAGGAATTTACAAATTGTTCAATGCATAGATATGAGGTGATTAGACTAATTGATGCTTCCCACAATTCTCTTGAGCTGCTTCATTGCTTCTTATTTCATAAACTATACAATATAACGATTCTAAGATGATGTTGAGGAGCGGTAACGTTTGCAGTTCTGTGATATTTGTCACGTGGCATCAGCATGCACTGCATATCGAGGTAGGAGGTCATGAGTCTCCAGATCCTTCTTACATAGTGTGCTTGGTAGTAAAGTATTACATAAATATACTGTATTGGCTGCATGTATCATTCTGTAGCCTGTGTGCTACTTGTACATGAGTAGGATGCCTTTGTGTATGTACCTTGGTTGGTCATGATTCTTTCAAACTAGGTCCTTTATTGGATGAGCGATGAAGTTTAATGATGATTTTCAAGCCATGTTGTATTGTTTGCTTTCCTCTTCATAGGTTTCCTCAAAAACGTTTTGATTAGTATAGCAGATGCTCTGGGTGCATCTAAGTGTACATGGTCCTTGATGAAGACCATATGTTATTCTTTGACATGTAGTATGTATCCTTAATTCATCTAGTGATATGTTGTATTTTAATGACTCACATTCCTTAGCCAGTTTCTTGATTGATGTTGTACGAATTTAATAAGTTTGTGCCTTTCTCTATTATTCAGAGGGTAAGGGTGATAGTTAAATGTTCTTGAGTGTCGATTCTCTAGGACTCTTAGTGTTCAAGAATTAGGCAGCTTCCTTCATGAAGATATTAGATGTAATATATTCATGATTATCTTGAGCAGCTGGTCAGATCATCTGCAGGTACGTGTGTTCCATAGTAGGAGCCTTGTGAACTTCTTCAGCGAACGAATATGAGTCTGAGATTTCTTCTACTGTAATATCAGGTTCAGGTACAGCATATTTTCCACAAGGTTCTGTAATTTTGAATTCGATAAAACTGTGTTGTCATTTTTATCGTAAATTCAGAGATTAATTGGGGAGATGATGAGCTGCAAAGAGAGTTGGCTCTTACTGATTTGGAGGTCCTGGCACCCTTGGCGCACATAGTGGCGTCTTTGCTTTCTTTCTTGTTCCTTGATAACTCATGGAATAGGAGCACGTTTTTTCTACGGATGTAGTGCCTTCCACTGTGTCTGGCAGGCCTAATGTGTATGTATGGGCCCTGCTCGTGTGCTCGTTTCCTTAACTTTGCTATCTGACGATGAGTCTATCCGGCTCGAAGGACCAGATGTTCGATTTCTAAGAGTTTGTTTTATGGCTCGAACTGGTAATTCAATAGTTCAGTGGATTAGTCTCTCGTCATGATAACTTAAAAGGCCGGCGATGCCGACAATCGGCGGACTTGAAACCGGCTTCAATCTCGAACAGTATTTTAGCTTCATAAAATGACTTATTATTGTACTTTCTATAATTAAAAATTATATTAAATAATTTGAAATTAATATTCAATTCAAATTATCACTTAGTTAAAATTCACCAATCAGAGTCAATGTGTTCCGATAAATATAGTGCACGTTTATTAATGATTGAAATTTCTGAATTTACCGTAAAAAGTGGTCTTGGTTCCACTAATAAATCGTCTCTTTGATCAAAAGTTCCCCATCTATATGCAAGTTCAGCACCTCTTCGTTTCCATGTTTCTAGATAAATAGTAGCCCATATCACATTAAATACTGAGAATAACACGTAAGCTACATCTTCCATCGCTTGATTCCTTCCAATGATGCCCACCTACATTTTAAATCAATCATTAATGTTGTTTATAAGTAATCATTTTTTAATATAAACATTTGTAAATAATTAAAATTTTTGTATATATGTATATATGTTTAATGTAATACAATATTTAATAATAATAATAAAAAATGCTGACTGATACAAATTTGCATAAATAATTAATTTTTCTATTGAAATCAATTAATTTTAGAATTATATTCAAAATTCATTATCTAATTATATTTTTAATTTTAATTTAAAGAAATATTCTACTCCATAATAATTTATCTAATAGTAATTTATAAATAAATGTTTTTTCACATTTACTAATTATAAATCTATAATACATGTAATATTAAAATATATGTGAATGCGTAGAAGCAGGAAAGAATAGTTTTAAATATTCAGAAGCTATATAAGTTTATTGTATATAAATTTATATTTAATGGATATTTATTTATTTGATTTTATTCATATAGTTAATTATATATCGTACATAATATTATTTAAAAGTTTTCGAACGCGAAATTCTAAGAACATAATATAAATCATCCAAATAATTTGATACACTCACATAACTTAATTTTTCTTTACCCAGTAATGTAAATAAAATAAATAAATGCAATTTTATAATAGCTCAATATCTGATAAGATAGATAAACCAATAATTCTCTTAGTATATTATAATTTTTTGTTTCATAATTAATTTTTTTAATTTTTTAGATTTAACAAATTTTTATTCCGTAATTAAAATTTTAAAATAATTTTCTTAACTAATGAATTCTTTTAATATTTATTTTTTCTGTCATATACATTACTTTGCGCAGTTCAATTTTATATCTCTCTATTGACTTATATATTATCTTTTGTAATAATTAGAATTTATAAATAAATTTAAAATAGCGTCAATGTCAATGGTACACCTATTAACTCTTAATTTATATATATTCGTATGATCACATGAATTTTGATTTCTATAAAAGAATATACTTCGTAAAAGACTAAGTTTTATATAATTTTTATTATTTCAAATGAAGATAATTATTTTATTAAAAATTAAAAATTATTATAATTATTTTATATTATAAAAAAGTATTATGTATGGAATCTTTTCTTTTCTAAATTAGATTTTAAAATAATACTTACCCAGTATATGACACCTACTGCAGCTGGAACAATAAGTGCGGTAGTGTAGTGTCCGAGCCATGCAAAGTACATTGTAATCTTCACTCCAAAATACCTGGAAATATCATCTAGTGGCTGTGGACTAAAAAATGCTCGAACCCAAGATTGCTGCAACTTTTCCAGTGCAGGTAATTCATGAAGTGGGAAAACCTTCATTTTTGTGAAATTATCAAAATAAAATATAAAAACCGTTCATTTATTAGAAAATATTTTTTTTTAATTTCTGTAATATTTTTAAATTGATACAGACATTGAATAATAAATAAAATAATTATTATTTAAAAATAGACTGCTTAATTACAATGTTTATGCAATAAAACAATATGCATAAAGTAATTTCTTTTAATAAAATAAAATTAAAATTAACATTTCGGAATTGATTAGAATTATTAATTGTATTAATAAAGGAAGTGACAACTAAATAAAACTTTTCTAAAAGCTATTATCTTGTATTATAATCAGTTAAAATTTTATACGTATTTCCATTAATTTATGTATGTGAAAATGTTTTTAAATATAACCTAACATATCAATAAAAAATTATAGGTTTAATTTTATTTAAGTCCTAGTGAACGTGGTTACGTTTTATATACTACATTCATTAAAAAAACATATTTTAATTAATTATTATATCAATAGAAAAAATAATTTCTTATTTAAAACTAATAATTTATTATAAATATAATAAATTATTTGCTCTGGTTTGATAAATCCTATAATTATATTAGACAATCAAATTGATTATAAAACATAAAAAATAAAGCAATGTTTACATAAAAAATTCATTTTTATAACTTATTACATTTTAAAATAAGATAAAAATAATAATTAAATATTTATTATTAAATATTATATAATATATATTAAATATTAATGGCTTGTATAATTAATAATTATTTATTAATAGAAATCATTCATTAAAAACTACATAATAAAATTATTTTTTCAATTAGACTCTCTATTTTACTTTTAATAAATATGATTTATAAAATTTGTATAATTTATATAACTATTATACTTCGTTAACATTACAATGTCACTAATTTTGATATTAATAACCAATTAATAACTAATAACTAATTAATAAAATAAAAAATATTAACTTTTTCAATTAAGTTTTATTTTATAAGTTAGATATAGTATTTGACAAATTATCAACTTTTTAATAATTTCTCTGTTTATATAAATTATCTTAAATTATAATCTGAATTTTTGTCTTTATAATGACTAGACAAAAATATAAATTTAAAGGTATATTTTGGAGGTAAAAAATTAAGTTATAAATAGTAAATTTCTTTTTATTACATTATATCATTTAATTAAATAAATTACAATATTTATTCATTCATTAAGATTTATAATTTCATATAAATTTAATTAATTAGAAATTTGTATTTTATTTATAACTGTATAACTTAGTTATCTTCTTTTGTACGAATTTAATTTAATTATCTTATAAAATTATGAGAATGATTTCACATTCGGTTCAGGATTGATAAAGAATTACTGAATCAATATCAAATAAAAGTATATACGAATATACTTGTAAGACTTAAATTATTTGATTGAAGTTTGTTTTATACCTAAATATAACTGCCAATCCCAGTACCAATTTATAACATATTTTTTTAATATATATATATATATATATATATATATATATATATATATATATATATAATCATATTTTTATATGATTTAAAAGATGTATTCTTATCCTTATAATGTGATTAAGATTTAATATAATTAAAAATATCATTTAACTAAAGTATTAAAAGTTTATATTATTATCTATTTTACTACATAATTTTAAATTAATATAAGGACTTTAGTTTACTATTAGTACATTATATATTTTATTTATAATTAAATTATACTATATCTTCTAAGTTAATACTACTTCTTGTTAATACTATATTTTTATAAGTTATACTATATCTTATAGATATTTGAATTAATTTAGATGATTGTTACAATATTATAGACGATTTATTTGTAGAATATATTTGTAAAATAAATTTATGTAATAAAAATTATTAAGAATTTTAAACTTGACAAACCTGTAAAATAAATCCTGAAGAAAGGCATTTTGGAATGATAGCCTGACCTTCAACAAATTTAACACCTACCAAACTGTTAAGATCATATGGACCTGCTCTCAACGTATGAAGAAGATGGAGAACCAAAGATTGGCGTTCTTGGGTTGTAAAAAAATGTGTTTCATCACCATTGCCTTCGAAATACGTTGCTTCTGCGCCGAGAAATTCCTTAAGGCTACCGCCATATTCCTGACGCAATCGTTTTGGTAAATGAACCTCTTCGGCAACTTTTAACAGTCTATAGTGTACATGGATAAGTTTATATATATTTCCGAGTAATTCTTGATTTTTTAATAAATTTAAATTGTTTCTGAATAAAAAAAAACAAATAACAAATATTAAAATAAATTATATATATTCGAAAAGATATAACTATAAAATTATCTTCATTTAAAGTAATATGGATTATATACTTTCATTAACTACCTTAGTAATTATAAAATTAAACTTCAAATAGTTTTAATGCTCGTTAATTAAAACCATACTTTTAGAATTTTAATTGAATTAAAATATAAATTACGATACAAAATATAAACTTTTAAATTTATATCGAATTAATTAATTATTATTAATTAAATTATGATCATATCTAGCTATCAATTACTTCTTCGCGATATTAATGAAATATTTCGAAGTTTTAGTTAAAATTTTTAAAAGTAAGATTTCTTATAAAAATTGAACTATGTAAAGTATAGGTTGTTTAACAAACAAATAATATAAAGATATGATCTACAGATGATATACTTACACAGAAAAAGGTGCTGTTAAATAAAATCCGTAACTATCAGATGAAGCATGATGACGTACGTGTACTACAAGTCCAGGGCTTCCCGCTCGAAGGCGTCCTAAAAGCCACATTAAAGTTTCTTCATTGCTTCCACTCGGAAACGTCATTACAACATCGCATTCCTATAAAAATTATTAGTATTATTAGAATATATTTAGTAGATACGTATTATACTATAATTAATAGCGTATACTATAAATTATTAAACATAATATTTGATACTAAAATGAAAATACTACTTATTATATATTAAATATGCATTACCTTAATATAATTTTAATAATAGTAAAAATGAAAATACAGAAATATTTTATATTAAAAAAATATTTGAAACGTTATTATTTGAAAAGTTATTAGCTATTCATTAATGAATCTTAACATTAATGTATAAAATTAACAGTTAGTTCATATTTTGTTTCTAAAATAAATAATTCAAGACATAATTCAATTTTTAATTTAGATATATCATAATTACGAAGAAATATATAAAAAATATACTTACAAAATTGAATAAATTGAATGTTCAGGTTGAATAATATGATAAAAACATTTTTTTATTAAAGCTTCATATTTTTCATGCATTATCATTAATTTAAAAAATAATGTTGCAGTTATATTTTTTTTACATTTATTATCAACATTTAACTTTTTTTAGAAAGATATTGAAACACAAATCTTAAATAATAAAAATAATACTTTTACTGTACCAGCTACTTTTTAATCATTATCAAATCTTTTTTGATATTTTACTTAGGATAAATCTGTATTTTATAGAATTTTTTGGTTGGATTCTACAAATATACTGTATTTTTGGATATTTTAAATATTAATAAAAAATGGTTTAATTATGCTATTAAATAGCAACTCTTATTAATACAGTGTATCCAAACAATATTTATATTTAACTTATATAGTATTAAAGTATACACATAACAATGTGCATATTTTTCAGAATATCTCTCATCAATCAAAAATCAAAACAACTTCAGAATACTTCGTTTAAAAATTTTATAAAAATAATTTGATTTTTAACTGTTTGATCTTCAGAATATTTTCTAAAATAAAATCTACTAGTTTTTAGTGCAAATTTACGATGTAAGTTAAGTCACATACTTTACTCATATATTAAAAATGGATAATAGAAACTTACTCGATATTTATATTTAAATGAACTAGATAATATTTACCTTTTAAATTTCATGTTAATTTATTAAAAAATTTGAATAAAGAGCATTTATGTAACAAATAGAATTCAAATTATATCTAATGATGAAAGGTATTTCAATGAAGCCCAGTTTTATGCGTTATGTTCAGTACTATTTTTTATATTAAAATGCACAATTATTAGAAAGTATTGAAGTTATAATTACAAAATATGTAGTATAATAATTTACTTGTGTTGGAACTTTTTGAATCCATAGGCGGCGGGGGGTCATTAAATGTCCAGTACATGGTATTTTCCTCCTTAATAGGCGAGATGCTATAACATAAACAAGAGAAAGTTTTAAATAACCAATTTCATTTATTTAATTTTACTCATGCAGAAAATTGAAAGTTAGAAAAGATAAAAATAAATATGAACATAAATTATAATATGCAAAAATGTTTATAATAATTATTATTAATTATTTTTAACACCTTTCACCTCTGTATACCTAATTATTTTAAACATTTTGTATTTTGTAATTTAAACATACATTGTAGAAAATGAAATCCATAAAATATAGTGTGAAATATTATATTAGATTTTTATACATTAACTCTTTTTATTATTTGGAGAAATATTAATATAACCTAATAACAGCTGTTAGGAAAAAGATAAAATATGTTCTTTGTTATAATAAATATTAAAACTCAATAAAAATTAGAAAATTTTCAATTTCATAAACAAACCATTATACCAAGCAAAATTTATATTAATGCTTTTCATTATATAAAGTATATATATTAAAACACTTTTAATAATAATAATTATTGTTTTAAATAAAATTAGAGAGAAAATTCAAAAGAAAAACTAAATTAGGAAACTACTACATGAATTTATAATGAATTACTGAAATAGAAAAACTTCTTATTTTCTTATAAATTTAATTACGTAATTACTATATTGTGAAAAATATTTTTGTTATCTTCTAATCATTTCTACCACTTATGCCATCTAAGCCAATGATACTCAGTAAAATAATATTGTTGATTACTCAAAAATTAAATACACGATTGTATACTGTTGTTTCCTATATCACCGGAAAATATAAAGCTACTTTTCTAATTTAAGTTAAAAATACATCCATCTTAATCAATGACATTAATGAAACCTCTCTAAAATTATATTAGTAGTATAGAAAAATTTTTTTTACGGATTCGAATGTCTTACGTGTTTTTATTTTATTGGGGTTCTTTGCGTATGGGGATTTATTGCAAATTATGAATAATAATAAAACAATGAAATAATAATTAAGTAAATATTGTAATTATTAATAATTTCTCAAATATTATATATAATCTTCAATTGAATTTATACACTAGTAGCGATTGTATGATGTCTTTAACTTTTTAAAATAAATTTTATAAAAATTATAAACAATATAGGTAGTTCATACATTCATATTCGAATCATGTCCATGTGTTAACTATACACTATTTTATAGTTATAGTACCGCAATATTTCCATTGAATAATATTAAGTAGATTACATAGGCCCTTTAACATATAATCTACATTCTATATATACACAATGAAATATAAAAAGTATCATAACCATAAACAATAGTAAACGTTTTAAAGAGATCGCTATTGATTAGAAATACAGGAATATACCATCAAAGCACTTTCGATAATATTATTCATAAATGTTTTTATGTCATTTCATTTCACTTAACTTTATTTTTAATTACTTTCATTCAATCAATTAAGCAAGTACACAGAGAAAATTTGAATTATTTTTCAATACACTGAAATTCAAACTTCTCAATTTCATTTTTACAATGCATAATTGTTCTCAAAGAATACACTACATAACATTGAGTGACACATTTTTTTTTTTGAAAAAACAAAATTCTGCTACACAATTTTAAGTGCTGTATAAACTGTAATAAATAAAAAAAAATACGGCAAATGTTAGAATTCTAAGAAAAACTAATTTTTACAAAGAATTTCTTTCTATCCGTAAATAACATCATTTAATAATGAAAATAATTATATATTTTAGAACTATTTTTTGTATTATTTGATATTTTTTAGCTCGTATCTAACAATAAGTTCAGATTGAATTTATTATTGAATTTAATAAAATTATATCAATAATCAGTTTTCATCTAGGATAATATTTGTATTCTGTTATTTTTTAAAATATGTTCATATTTTATGTACCACGATTATATTATTTAGCAGTTCATTGTTGATCGCTTTTTATTAAATTAGTGTATTTGTAAAATTATATTAGTGCGAACAATAAATTTTTCGTTGTACTAATTTGAATTTCTCAAATAAAATGAATATCTTACTAAAAAATAAATAAAATAAATTTTATTAATATAAATATTACCAATTCAGAATATATATATAATATAATTTTCATCATATTTATTTATTAAACATTGCAATGAATAGTAATATAAATTACAAAAATTTAATTCAAATAAAATAAAAAAAAACATGAAATTAAAAAACCATTAAAAAAATTTGCCTAACGAATAAGTCACGTTAGAATCAAAGTATTTAACAAATATATTCTACCTTTTGAGAATTTATGTTTTTATATTTTATTATCTTATTAATTGATTGATAATTTTATTAATTTATTTATACATTTATTTTTTTTAATATACATTTAATTTGTTTACTTTTCATATATTTTTTAAAATTAAATTTTTCAATCAGTACAAAATTGCATTTTTTAAATCCTTACTTAAGGACATGAATGTAAATATTAATTAACTCAAAATATATTTTAAAATTATATAATAAAATTTTATAATAAATATTTTATTTAATGCTAATTTATATATAATATTGTAAAATATATCTAAAGAAAATAAAAATAATATTAAAAATATACAAAATGTTTATGAAATTAATTAAAGATATATCGCCAACGAAAAGAAAATAATATTAAATAAATAATAATCGATTTTATAACTGAAAAATTAAGGTAAATTAAACTTTGAATATATACAATTGTACTATGCGTTAAATTAAATATTTAGGCGTTAATCTTCAAAATCGAAATAATAACATATGATATATTATGCAATGATTATTAAATATATAGTAAACAGCTATAAGCTTAAATACACATGCATACTCGCACAGATGCAAATGCATACATAAATTGATAGAAATTTGAAATTATTAAATTTGATTGTACTACATTAATTTACATAAGAACATAAAGTTTTATTTTAAAGAAGTTCCATTACATAAGTTGAAAATAAACAGTTTAATATTTGATATATTATAGAATTATTGATATATTATAAAATTTTTTGGTAAATTAGCCTACAATTATACAAAGCTTAATAAAATCTTTATAGAAATTCCTACTTAATTTGACTATTACAGATTTGTATTTTAATTATAAGTAATAGTAACAAAAATAAATACAAATATAATAAACTGATAAGAAATACAATTAATTATATTTTGTAGATCAAAAATTATTTTCTATAAATTAAGTACTTTTGACCTAGCATCCATCTTAGATGTTATATAAAGATCGCATATATATAAAAATTGAAGAATAAAGACTTTACATTGAAAAACCAAATTTACATTTATTTATAATTTCATTTAAATACTAGTATCTACAACTTTTTTCAAACATAAGATTTTTATATCTTTAATGAATTTTAATTGCCTTTACATGTATAAAATATATTGTTTTTATATTATATGGATAATTTAAGCAGCACTTCCTCTTATTTCATAACTGTATCTGAATATTGGTAATAAAATGAAAAACTTCCTATACTAACTTGAAAACCTAACGCATTAGTTCATATATTCCTCATCCAACTCACCCTTATCCAGGGTTTCTTTGGCTGCATAAATGACCTTCCTTCTTCTCAATCCATCATTAGTTAGTGTAGTTGATATTTCTTCAATATTTTCGCGTATACATTCATCACTTTTGGAAGCCTCTGCTGTTGAACTGTATTCAGTTGAAATGCGATTGATTGGATCTGCGGTTGCAGTCAACCCCTCACCGCCTGACATAGTTGTCCCGACAATGGGTGAAAAGAGTTTAAATAGTCAATTTGTCGCGAGCCCCTACGCTTGTACTACTCAGGCTATACTAACAGAGATGCAAACATACGAATGTACTCCCCTACAATGTTTCCACAAGGCGCATGCTTCATAGTATGAAAAATATGAGTACCAATGCTATGCGACGTTGTCATCGACCACCTCTGTATGTGCAAGCCAATACTTCCGTCCTTTCATTCTCCCCTATTGTCTTTATTTCTCTCTTTTTATTATTGCATTACTTATCTATTTTATTATGCTAAATGATATAATTTAATACATAGTTATAATTTTATACATAATTACACATAGCTTAACTTGGTTATATTTTTTGTTAAATTTTTTTCTTAATTTTTCTTTAAGTCTGTTTATATAAATTACCTATTTATTTTTCTATTCTTTGTATTGATGATTTAATTAATATTTTATTTCATTGTGCATTTATGTTTTATCCTTAAATCCGTATCTGTTTATCTAAAACTATATTTTCAATCCTGTTCTTTAACTTCTTTTTTGATTTTGGAAATGCAACATTACGTTTCATAATGTAGTATTTTTTTATTACGTTAAAATTACTTGTATTGAATTTACTTTATTAGTTGTTTTCTCTATTAATATTTATATAAACTAAAAATTGATAATACGTTTTTAAGCAAAAATTTGTCATCTATATTTACTTTGTAAAATTTTCTTTATTTGCTTATTATTATTAAATAAATTTTTACTCAACTAATATTGTTATAATTACACTTAATGCTTTCAAATTTTATACGTACATTAACAAAAATAAAAACTTTCGCTTATTACGAACATAATTTTCTTTGCATTTTTTTTGTTTTTTGTTTTTAGAAATAAATATCAAAATTAGTTACATATGAATATTACTTGTAATGAAGTCTTTAACTTCGTTGAATGCTGATCATATAAATTGATTAATTATCAAGACAATTAAAACATGGATTGCTTTGTGTAAATTACTAATTCTATTAATAATAAAGTATATGTATATATAGCTGTATAAAAAGTGTATTTTAATTTTATAATATTATTGTATAAATCTTTATTAAAATCATTATTTAAAAAGAAAACTGACAGATAAATTATATATTTTATATAATATATATTTATAATATATATTTAAATAATATATTTTATAAAAACTTTATTTTCTGCTCCAAAAAATTTAAAAAGATATTTGTAACAATATTTTATCGTTTAATGATTTATAATAAATAATGAAAATACAAAAATACATGTCATTTTTATATTGTTTTATATTGCATAATTTAAATGGTAACAGGCTACTCATTATTTTTAAAATAAAACAAAATTATTTTTAAATATTTAAAATTAATATATAACACCTTACAATTACAAATTATTGTTGATACACGATTGATTTATTTGTAAGACGAAATATTTTGATTAATTTTTAAAACTAATAACGAATATTAAATGTATAGCTTAATTTATTTAATTGTATAAGAACTGAAAATATACATAGCATTGATTAAAATAATATTTTAATCAAATTTTAGTAAAAATATAATGTTTATTTATTACTTTCTATATTTTATCCTATTGTAATTATGATTAATAGCAATAAAAATAATTGTTTTACAATATTTTATTGTATTTATTTAAAATAAAATATTTTTTATACTAAATATATTTTATAATTCAAAATTTATTAAAAATAATATATATTATTCAGGGACAAAAAATAATATAGACCATTATTTTAAATTAATTGTTATAAAGTTTTAAAAACAAATGTTACCTAAATGATTATGATTATAAATATACTTCATTTAAATAAAAATGGAAAGTTCCTATTTATTACTTCAATATGTATGTTTATTAAACTTAAATTTATGTATATTGACCCCGTTCAGATTCAACAAATCCGAGTATGGAAAAGATAACCATTTCGCTGTAAATCAATTAGAATACAATTTCAGTTATTTTTATTAAAACATCGGATTTTATAACAGGATGCAAATTCATATAATATTGACAAAGAAAATAAACGATCTGGAAAAAAACTAATTGAGAATAAGATATCTTTCATTTTGATAAAATTATTTATTCAATAAAAATTTTATAACTATTTTAGTGTTTCTTTTATAATTTATAAGACCGCAGAGGATTACCTACTTCTAGTAAATTTCAAAGTAAAGAAAAACAAAAAAACATGCAAAATTTCGAATTATAGAGAATTTCATTACAAATTGCAGAATTGGCGGTTGTATAAAGAAACAATTTTAAATGCTGTCGTATTAATAATGAATAATCAGTAAAAATTATAAGCACGCATAGCAAGTAATGATTATGACTACTAAATGAAGATATATAAGCAACACTCTCTGTATTAATGAAATAAGTGTACAGAGGATTAAGCATTTAGTTTAGCCATTGATTAATTTATATGAATGCGGGTTTTCAGATCAACTCACGACTGATATATATATATATATATATAACCGGTGCAAAAGCTTTATTAAAAATCTTAAATATTTATTTAATACTTTGTTAAAGAGTATCGGTTGTATAGCGATTGGTATTCAAGGCAGTGAGAAAAATGGAAGAAAACGAAACGATTTAAATAGGCATTCTGAACGATACTTGATGGCTATTACAGTTAAAATGATATGTTAAATAATGTAATACTACTTAGCGGCAGTTATGAAAACCTTATCATTAACCTCATTAATAGTAGCCTCGTTTAAGGAAATCAAAGATTCTCAGTCGGGAAGTCGCTCCCTTGCCCTGAAATATGTAAGGTTATCACTTTTATATTGCAGATCATCATTACATCTCCCCACGACAAGAATTAGCCCTTATTGTATATCATTAGGATTTCGAGATCAAGAAGGTGTTCATAAAGATTCATCAGCATTAACGCCAATTTTATAACACATCATTTGAAATTGTGTGCATGATTAATTCAATATCCAATTTCTATGATTTATAGAATTGTATATTTTTGTAATTAAAATTTAAAATAAGTAAACTGTTTGTTACATTAGGATTGCTTATCTAATATAATGTAAAATACATCGATATATAAAAAACATTTCGAATTTTATTTAAATTTAATTCAGCCAATTCATATAATTATTTAATTGATTAACTAATAATTACTCATATGTATATTTTAATAATTTTAATACTTTGTATTTTACTGATTATATAATTATAAATTTAATAGATTAATTTTGCGAAATGCTACATTCAATTATTAATTATATAAATTAATCATTTAGAATAATTTTATATATCTAAGTAAAATAATTTTAGTCATATTATCATCAGTATTTTCAAGAAAATATAAAAATAAAGATTGAAATAAATAAAAAATATATAATTAAATAAAAGATTTATTTTATAAATAAATATATATAATTTTTATAATCACATATATAATTATTGCTTCTTATATATTATAATTAAATAGACTTATAATAACTTATAAACTATAAGAATATAAGACTTATAAACATATATCAGCTGAATCAGCTCACAATTCGTGCATACATCAATATATTTCAGATAGTTAAATATAAAAGCCAAGTACTCATATGTTTCAAAAATACTTTTCTTTTTAAATTATATACAAAAATATAAATTAACATTTTCACAAATTATTAAAAATAATAAACAAAAATATATTTTAAGTACATTATGATAATGCTGCTATTCAAACTTTAAATTAAACCAATTATAATAATACAGAAAAAAAGAACAAAATTATTTTAAGATAAAATAAAAGTTGCATTAAACATCTTCTTCGCTAAAATCAGCTTGCAATAAATTTTATTAAAAACATATATATTACAAGCTGTCACACTCATTCTGTACCTTTTAAGCATCATCAATAATAATTTTTTTTCATATTTTATTCAGTTATCAAAGGATGATTTATATTTGACAATACATATCCTACTATTATTTTCATAACTGTATTAAATATATTAAAATAAAAAATAATACTATTCCTCGTACATATACACTAATAAATTCAAATAAAGAATTATTAGATGTATATACTTTTAAATTTTTATGGAACAGCGTTTTTTTAAGATTTTTTTTTATTTTATAGATGATTTATTAATCTTTGTATAATCTTGTATTAAAACAAGATTATAAAACTAAGTATTTAGTATTAAACAAAGACATATAATATTATATTCAGTTCTTATACTCAAATTAATATTTTAAGAATAATATTTGAGTTAATTAAAAATACTAAAAATTAATAAATAGAAATATTCATATCATATATTAAATAAAATTATTTGAAGGAATTATAGAATTATATAAATTTAGTGTCAACTTTTAATATAATTAAAACTCGTGAAAAATAAAATATTTAGATCTACTTTTTATAATTATATATTCAATTCAAAGAATCTTCATTTTTGGGCTTAGACATGACACAGTGTCCGCGGTAGCAAATTTCAGTCATATGCGAAACTTTTGTTGTAGTCGACATTTTTAGGATTTTTCCAAAATTTGTTTGAAAAGGTATTTTTTTTAATAATCCAATTGTTTTATCAGTCACAGATGATACAACTGGATTGAATGTTATAGATTCTAAAGTTGTAGTTATTGAAGTATTATTTTGCTCTGAGCTAGTATTAACTTCTGATTCGGATACACCTGAACTATTTAAAGAAGTTTTAATTCTTTTAGATAAATTTGAAGTTTCTTCAATCTTAAATAATTTACTATCCTGATTCTGATTTGATATTGCTGGAGTCTCCAATTTGGCACTTTGATTCTGTTTCTCGTCAGCACTTTTAATACTTTCAAAAATAGCATTTACGTAATCAGTAGCACTAACATTATAGGGTTTCTCATTAACTTCTTTTTTCTGATTTATGTATCCATCCCCCTCCATTTGATTCAGACTTTTATCATTCCACTTGGTAAAGTTAAAGAGTATTTTATCAGAAAGATGTCGTACTTCACTCCACTTACTTCTATGATTCTTCGGATAATCTATATTATCATTATTAAAATTAGAATTCTGAAGCTTGTCTTGATTCCGAAAATACACATTAAATATCGGACTTTTTGTACTAAAATATTTGTGTAAATCGTCTGGATTTATTTGTTGAATTATATTTTTCCCGTTATTATTATTTGTTTCTTCAAATTTTGGTGTTGTAGAAGATACCCTTATCTGATTAATACTTGTAGTAAAAATTACGTCAGTATTCTGAATCACTTTTTCTGTTGTTATAAGTAATTGATTATTATTAATATCCTTATCTATATTACTTGTGTTTGTTAAATTAGTTGATGATTGAAAATAATTCTCAATTGTGTTATTTTTATCTTTTATAATAGTTAAATTTTCATTTTGTGCTTCTGGAATTATTGTGGAAATTGTCCATGAACTATTTGAAATTTTCTTTGGCATTGTAATGGCTCTATTGAGCAGTGTGGTACTATCGATGTGCTTTTTATCTAAAAATTTATCAAATGACATTTGAAATATTGAATTCTCTGTTTCTCTGGATTCTACTAAAGATGAAGTGGGGTTTACTATAGTTTTTATTATAGTAGTTGGTTCGGTAATACTATTAAAAATGTGAAAATTATTCGTTTCTCGTGATAAATTATTGAAAGGGGTATTATAACTTTGAAATTCAGCAATAGGAACATTTTCTGATCTCGATCCTGTTGATTTTACTCGAACACGAATACGTCTTCTTCTCAATCCTGCCTAAACAATATTTTAGTAATTCAAAGTTAAACTCAATAAGTAGTTAGCACATACAAATAGTATTATGAACCTTATATCAAATTAATCATTTTAACTATATCTCTTTTAGCATTAAAATCGAACTTAAAAAATAAGATAAAATTAGATTAATAAAAAATATCAGATAATTTATATGAAAAAATACATTCATAATTTTTATTATAACAATATAAATCGAAATAAGTTAAAATATATACTTCAATGTGAATAACAACAATTCCTCAATAGTAATAATTCTCGATAATTTGTTTTCTTTTATATTAAATTTATAATCAATTTCATAATACAACATTTAATAAATATAAAAATAAAAATTATATTTTGATTTAAATAAAAAAAAAATATGAATTAGTATTTAAGTAAAAAATGATGTTTCTAATTAATTCCTTAACAAAAAAAGGAGAATATTTTTTCATATTGTAAAATTTTATCAAAATTTGAAAAATTTGGTTACTACTATTTTTCATTTAATATTATTAATTATTTATTGTATAAATCATTTTATAAATCCATGACCGTTATAAATATTCTTGTATACGATAATGAATTACTAATTATATACAATTATATACATATTTATATGTATAATTTTTTAAACCGCTATCGATGAAAAATTTAATTAATATTTTAAGAATCTATAAATAAAATATATACGAATAAATATTGATACAGTCATTCTACCTTTTTGAATGTTGTACTAATATTTTTATTTAAATCTGACTCTATAGTATTTCGAGTGGAAGTTGCAACTGCAGGTGTAATTATGGTATTATTAATTTCATCTCTACTATTCATTTTTTTTCCAAAATCGGACATCATATCCTTATTTAGGACAGATTCATCGAAATGTGACAGTGATTCTTGCTTTTGTTCAATATTATTACTGTTAGATGTGACAAAAACAGTAATAGAAGGTATGTTGGATGATACAGTTATAATTTCCTGTGGATTATCAGTATCTTTTTTTTTCTGTTCATTTAAAGACTTGTTTGATTCATTTATTTCTTGATTGAGGGAATAGCTGCTCGGTTGAAACGAATTGTCTGTGAGTTTAGTTGACCACTGGCTTTCTGCTCCATAAATATCAGACACTGAACGGCCAGTACTTACTACTATACTTGGCGTAGAGTGATAGTGGTGTGGTAAATCACCATCTATTTGTGTTTGATCATAATTATGACGGTTAAAATTTTGTGCAGTTCCATAATTCAATAAAAATTCCTGAGGATACTAAAATAAATAATCAGTATTTCTATATAAAACGACTAAAATATTGATTTTTTGTTTGTTATTGTACTATAATATAATTATTTTATATATATAGCAATACTTGAATGTATGTATTATATTATTCCTTTTATAAAAAATAAAAACTTTATAACAATTATTTGTTTATAATCTATAATATATTCAACATTTATAATATCTATTATATATCCATAAATTAATTATTTAATTATATTATTAATGACTAATATTAAATTTCGTTAATAATACATTTTTGTAATATGGGTAATTCTTTTATTATTGTCACATATTCTTTTTATTAAAATCAACTTTTGTAATAATGGAAACAAATCATTAATCTCAATTTAAAATTTTAACTAAAAAGTAGATAATGTTAATTAATTAGTCACATTAGACATTACAAAACAATGAACATAGTTTTTGTTAACTAAGTGTGATAAAATTAAAATGGTGAAAATATAAAAAAATTAATTTACATGTTTCTTAGTATGCCAATAGAAAATAGTATAGAAAATAGAATAATAGGATAAAGATAATTTATAATTAAACCGAATTTAAAATAATGGTTACTATTTTCATACATTTACACACTATTTTAATTAGTTTATTTCTTTTTAAAATGAATTCGGTATATATTAAATTGTATTTTGATTTCGAGATTATACTAGACTTAGAAATATTATCTTTTAAATAACATAATTTTAATTAGTAGAGTCAAAATTTTAGATTGAGTTAAAGGTTCATTTTATTTTATTTTAAAATATTTATAATGTATATTTATAAAGTGTATTTTCTTCGAAATACTTATCATACTTAATTTTTTTTCAAATAACTTTACTAACGTTTTCATTGATTAACTCTTTCCTCTATTTCGGTGTAATTTTCACAGATGTTGTATTTTTGTCATATAGAACAGGATTTTTATAATCATAATTACTCTGCATATTTACTATATCATGTAATTCGTGAGATACAGTCTTTGATAATTGCTCTTCCAATGATAAGTCTTCATTCGCCTCTATTGTACTTATAGTTGTAGTAGTTGTACGTCTTTTAATACCAGGTCTGCGTAATCTGCTACGCGATTTTGAGAGTTTCATTTCCCCTACCCACATTCCGCCAATTCGAGAATTATTTACGCGTTGACTGTCTGTATTAGGTGGAGTTGTTATACGAGCAGTAATCATTGGTCGACGTGTTGCAAAATACATATCTTGACGATTTTTTATGAACTGAGCTCGTGATTGATCTGATTCATTAGCTGTTGTACCATCTGCTGAAACAGTAATCTAAAACATATAATAATTTGTATTAAATGACAAGAAATGTAACAATATTTAAATGCAAATATTTAAATATAAAAGTAAAAATTATTTTCATATAAATAAATATAAATTATAAAGAATATAGACGATATTACTTTTTCCTATTTAATATATATCTAGTAAAAAATTAGTTCTATAGTTCCTACAAAGCTATTATTCTAAAGTTCCTGCAGAGATCTTACAAAATTATAACCACGGAAGTATTTAATAAGTACATTGTATATGTATATGAGTAAATTGTTGAATATTAAAGAACTATTATCATGTCATATTAATATAACAAAAAAAATTTGAGTAAAATATATTTTAACCTTTTGGTTTATAATAAAATTATTTAAGATATTCCGAATATGAAAAACTAACAAAGTAAATAAGTAAATGAATTATTTTCGAATGAAACTATACAGTAAATTACGTTACATTACATATCAGGAAATTACATTACATTAAATATCAGTAAATTACATTACATTACATATCAGGAAATCACATTACATTAAATATCAGTAAATTACATTACTTTAAATAAGCAATGGAATTTTATTTAAATTTCTTATATGATGTGAATAACTTTACAAATTAATTTTTTCTTTTTTTGAACTCAATTTTCTTTTAATTATACTCCCATTTTTATATAATTAACTGTTTGGTTTCAACTTAGAAAGAATAAATTACATTCACTCAAAACAAATTATTATTCAATTGGAATACTATTCAAAATAGAATGAAATCAAACATAACAATAAAACAATTATAAACATTAATAAATCAATCACAAAAACATACTAAGAGTAATATTTAATAACATTTAAATGTATGTATATTTAAAGAAAATCAGTCTTCCTATAGTATATAGTTATATTATTTTTCGCTTACGGTTTCTGGTAACTTTGTTAATTGTGTTATGGCAGTGTTATCAATTGTATATTGTTCAGGTGATGCCGTTTGAATTCTCACATATTCTGGACCATCTGTTTGGATTGGTGAATTCTTATGATCAATTTGTTGTACTCGTGTTCTCGATCTTATTCGTTGTCTTGGTTTTGCCGAATTTATATTTACAGCACTAAAGTGTACGTATTCATCTTGAGATCCATTTGATTGCGTCTGTATAACCGAATCTTTGCGTAACTCTGTGCGACCATTCAAACGATTACGACCGCGATAACGAATTGTTAATGGTACCTCCGTTGTTGTTGTTATCGTCATATTTATTATTGTATCCGCAGCCTAAAATATACGACGATTATTTAATCATAATACATTTACAAAGTAGAGGAAAAAATGTACATAACTCACGTACATTTCTCACTTTGAATAGGATGATTTAATTTTTATTACATAATTATATATATATCATTAAAAATTTAATACAGTTATAAGGGTGCAAATAAACGACATACAAAAATGAATCTAATATCAATGTTGTAGTTTATAATATAAATTTAAAATAAACAATATATCTTACAAGTTATGTTAATTAAAACATTTTATTAAATAAGTATAGCCAGCAATTTCTTTAAATTATTTAAAATAAATATATTTTGTTATTAAATTATATTTAAAAATTTATTTATTTATTATTGTTTTTATTTATAATGTATAAATTGTGCAAATATTAATTTATTTGTAGCAATCCAAATTAGAAAATAAATAATTAATCATTTTTATATAATTTAAAATATAATATCAGTACAATTTCACTGACTAAACTAATAATAGTAATATAGAGTAAAGTATATGACAATATTGTTTCTGACCTCGGATACTGCTTCAACTATTGTTTTTTTGTAAGCAAAGTCTTTGTGTTTATTTTCCGAGATAGGCAAAAAAAATGGCGGTTCTTCCTTATTATTATTATTACTATCAGATTTATAATAAATTGGTTTAGAAGTACCCTTTTCTTCATATTGATCATTAACAGAAACAGAGTGATAAACTGGTGAATAATCTTGCAGATGTAATCTTTGTGTATTAGATAATTCAGTGGTAACAATCGGTTCTAACATAATGTTTTCCATTTTTTCAGGTTTATAATAAGAATCTTTTTTATATGAGATAGAACTACTTTCATGTGGCTTATAGCGAAATGCATTTATTGGTTGTTCTTCGGTATTTACTTGTTTATACACAATAGAGGTTTGATGATTCGGTATTTGAGTAGATTTTTGAATGTCTTCAAAATCATGTAACGATGATGTGGAATCAAAAATTTCCATATGATCTGGCGAAGTACTGGCGATAGGTACAATTGTAGATGTAGCATAATTATTTGATGTTGACGAAGAAATATTTAAATTTGCATGTACATTATCCAAAATTTGAGAACTAATGTTTTTTAAATCGAACGAAGGTAAGTCAAATTCTTTATAAGAATCTTGTTTATTTCGATGATTTAAATTTAATATCTGTAATAAAATGTGTATAAAAATATTAATCTCCAGCAATAAAATATTTCTATATTCAATTATTTTATATAAATATAATTACTTAAAAAGATTGTCATTTCTTAAACGTAATTTATTTAAATATACAAATATATACTATATATTTAATGTGTTTTATGAAAATATTAAAAATTTTTTCATTTCTGTGTACCAACCTGAGTTTGTGTAGATTCTTGTATTTTATTTTCTCCATGTTTATATTTTTGATTACCAATTGTTGTTTTCGGTATGTAACTATCTTGTTCATTATGTTTTGAAGAAGATAATTTTGAATATTGATCTGTTGTAGTTATGAATTTCGATCTAGATCTTGTCAATGGTTTTCTTCCTCTATCAGAATTTCCTCTTAAAAACGAAGGAATGGTAGTAGTTATAGTTTTTAATGTAGTAGGCCTACTTCTAAAAATATTAATGAACGAATTTTTATTATAATAAAAAATGTTGTTTTATTTGTTGATATATAAACTTCTCTTAATAATTAATAATAATTAATAATATAAAGTGAATGTTGAATAAATATTGAATTTTTATTAATACTTCTATATACAGATAAGAAAAATAATAACTATTATATATTAAGTAATATTATTCAATATAAAATTTTATAATAAAAATAAAAATGCAATGAACTGAGTACATTTAAAATCTATATATATTAAATAATTAATTTTAAAAATTCAATTAACTATATGTTTCGACAATATATACCTGTATCGTGATTTTGACCTATACGTAGTTGGTACTTCTGTTGTATTTATTGGCATTATTATTGCAGTTGTAGATGGTGGAAAAATACTTAACGAGTCTGATTTTTCAACGAGTGCGTTAACTAAACCAGGAAGCTGTGGCGAAATAGCTGGTAAATGAGAAGATAGATTATATTGTGTATCTTCATCATAATTTAATGATGGGTTTAAATAATGCATATTAGTTACTGCATGTCCCTTCGGATCAATAATATATCTTTCATTGTTTTGCTTATATTGTTCTGAATCATGGCCATCTTTTAGTCTCTGTTGATTTTGCTCTACATTGGAATTAATAAACTGAGGTTTGACATTGTGATTTGTTATTGATTTTTCTTGATGTAAAGACATTGACTGAGAAATGGTTTGTTCGAATGGAAATATTGAAACTGATTTTTGACTATGATATTCAGGTGTTGTGATTGCTTCATTTGAATTGTAATAGTTTTTATTTGCAAAAGTTTGTTCTAATTTATTATTTGGCATCCGCTCTTTATTATAAGAAGGCTCACTTTTTACTGAAAATGTTTCGGTCGGCGGTATATTTTCATAAAATTCCATCAATTTCCAATTCATACTTGATTTAATTGGGGAAGATGATGTGTCATATTTTGATGTACTGGATCTTTGTAAATAAGACATTGGCATAATAGTATCATCAGTTATTATAGGTTTATTATTTACAAAATAAGAATTCGGTTGTATTAAATATGTTATATTTAAATTTTTATCTTCTTTTAATATCGCTTCAAAATTTTCTACACTACTGATTATAACTGACCCGATATGTGGAGCAGGAAATGGAATTTTAAAATATCCCGAAGGTGGATCAAAACTTAATGGTGCAACAAAAAAAGGAAGTTTATCAACTTTCTTCTCTATCGGACTGTTTTCAATTGAAGATAAATATGGTAAATCAAATTTAGCATAACCAACTGTAGGATCTAAATATTTAGGACCAACAAATAAAGTAGGATTATCTGTACTAAAATCATCAAGCACATCTATTGATTTACTACTTTTCAATATTTTCAAAACATCAATTAGTTGATAATTATAATGACTTGATATATCAACCTTTGTATAAATAGAAAGTGGTGGTTGATTTGGAGAAGGAGTAGTTAATTGTATGTCTCTTAATTCATATAATTCTTGACTGTGAGAATTACTTAATTTATTTCTTGGTTTAGTTCGAGATTTAAATCCTTTTGAAATTTTATTTGCAATCTGTGTTAAATGCTGATCATGTAATTGAGATTGAGATTTTGGCTGTTTAGTTTCATATGATTCGGTTCCATTAATATCAAAACTTGCACTATTTATTGTACCTGATCTTGTTCCAGTTTTGGGTTCATAATCGTGTTTATTCTCTTGTTTTTGTGGTAGTTCTTTAATGTTTACATAATTAAATAAATGTTCATATCCACTTTGTTTGTCTTCTTGTTTTGGCTGGAACTCAGTTAAATTTCTATCATCTTGACCCAGTTTCTTTTTTATATCTTGTAACTTATATAATTCTCTCTGATCTGAAATTTCTTCTATGTTCTTTAGTTCCTTTTGTTTTTTTTCAGCTTCTCTTAAATTGTGTACTTCTTCTTCTTTTCTAACTACTTGTTCATGTAAGTGTGTTTGCTTTTCCAATTTCATTTGATCTGTATATAATTTAGTTGTATCTTTTTCCCTTTCCGGATCAGAAAATTGATTTTTCCCTTTGATATGTTCTTGTATTTGAGAAAAAAATTCTTGTTCATATGCATTATGAACTGGAGAGGAAGTGGAAGATATTTCTAAACGATTTTGGTCATATTTAGCAGGATATTTTCTTGATTGAGATTTCTGCAGTTCAACCGGTCCTCGATGTGTTAAAATTTCAGCTGGCACGTATACAAGTTGAATCTAAATATATGTATATATATACATATATATATATATATAGGGATGTATAATAATATTATATATCAATTATAAAAAATTAAAATATAATTATTTATTAATGAAATACATAGAATTTCAAAGCTATTTTTTATATTCATATAATAAATGTTTTTAAAGAAATTTAATAATATTGTATTAATATCGAATAGAAATAATTAATAGAATATTATGATAGTACCAAGATTAATTATTGTATTGATATAATTAATGATTTGTTTATTACTATTAAAAACTAAATTTAGAGAATATTTAATAGAAATTAAAAGAAGAAAAACATTTTCAATATACACATCAAAGGAAATTATTGTAGAAAATTTTAATAAAAATTTTATGTATCTATAAGTATTAAATTATTTAGAAATATTTATGTAGTTACTTTATTTAAAAAAAAAACACTAAAAATTAACTTTTCAAGGAAATTTATTTTTTAAGTTAATATTTAAAAGAATATATGAAAATAAATGAAATCAGTAAAATAAAAAAATCTTTTAGCTTGCCTCTTGTGGATTATTGTTTGATTCTTGCGCCGAATTCATCATTGGAGCTATGTAATTCATTTGAAATGGTTGTTCTCTAAACCTGTGTATCATCTCATAGCGACTTTTCTCCTTTGTGTCATAATTTTTTCCACTATTCTCATGACGATTTTGAGATATTAATTCATCGTAAGTCTGACCATTATTTTGTTCAGAATTTGTTGGCGAATTTAAAATCAAGTGGTGATTTTGATGTTCCTTATTTAATTTAATATTTAATCCCGACGAATGAAAATTTTCATATTGAAATAAAGGGGGTAATGCTTTTACAGATGGAACTGTTGATATAAGTACTTCTGGTGCCAAAATTGGAAGAGTTTGAAGATTTCTTATTGTACTCTGATGAAGTGCTTGTTTTTCATCATGTGTGTTCATAAAGCTATTCGGCTGGTAAGCTTGAGACTATTCAAACAAATTATTATTATTTCTATAAGAATTATACAATTTAAATTCCTGTACTAACAGTTTGTCAGAAAACTATTTTATCATTGAAAAATCACTAACTATTATTATTGGAAAAAAAATTTTAAGCTTATGATAAATCATTGTTACTGATTAAAATTTTTTAAATTAAAAAATGTAGAATAATATAATTTTCTTAAATGAAATAAATATATATTTATATAGAACTTGTTAATCAGATAATCAATCAGATAATCAGATAGTTAAGCTAATAATCAGATAATATTAATATTTTTAAGAAATAACCTGTAAAAGTTGATGTTGAGTCTTTAGCTGCTGCTGAAGTAATAATAATTTTTGAATACTCTCTTGTGTTTTTTGTAATTGTAACAGTTGATTTTTATACTGTTGTTGTAATGTGGGTGATAAAGACAAAATAGATACTTGCTCAGCTGGCTTTATACTTCTATCAGCTATTGATATTGATGGCATCAACACTTCACTCTTACTTTTTTGATTATTTCTGGGGTTCGCCAGTGGGATCCATTCACTGTTTGATGTTTGACGTGACCACCTTTTAATATCACTTTGCACTATTTGTAAGATCACCATAAATATAACCCAAGTCGCTATTTTTCCGACAATCTAAAAAATAAAAAAGTATATTACTATACCAATAATAAAATAAAATTTATAAATATTGAATTAAATTAATATCTATAGTATTGACTTGTACTTACATTAAACTATAAAAAGATTTCTTAATAAAATAAAGTCTGACTTCTGAATTTAATTGATTTAAAAACAAATATAACCGTCTTTTTTATTTACTGCGTGAATACCTACAGCTATCAGTGTACAAGTAGATTCTTGTATATAAATAGTATATATCTAGCTAATAAATTTGTATACAAACTTTATATATATAGTAGAACATTTGTATATAAGCTTTTATATACCTAGTATGTAAATCATTAAATTCCTATTTACAACAGAAATAAGAATAATGTTAATTTATTACACTTTTTGACTAAAGTGGATAAGTTTGAACAAAGTAGAATACTATATAATCAGTTCAAGCAGAGAATGAAAGTTTAATCAAGATCGATTAATATCTAATCACTTAACATAAATGAATTCACGTTAATTTTTAGAGTAATTTGTCACGCTATTTAAAAGTAGCAAGAGTAGCTACTTAATTACAACAATGTCAACCTGGACAATTTTGTTTCAAAATACTATAATAGAATCATAATAGTGAATTATAAAAATGAAAGAAAAATATTGCAGAATTTTAATAGTAATATCATGTTATTTAAATAAAAAAATTAATTTTGTAAAATAAATATATATATTTAGAAACTTGACTAATAAATATTATACGTTACATATTTTATAATAATAAAAATAATTAATTTTTATTAATATGAATTTAATTATACTGGTATATTTATTGTTATGTTTACTGGCAACTCTTATTTATTTGTAAATTTTTAAAACCATTTTTAATATTTCTTTATTTTTATCTACAAAATAATTAAGCTGAATTAATGTATATCTAATTAACATTGTAATAATTAAATATTTTTTAAATGTCATTAAAAAAAAAAAAAAATCTGAATCTGTATGTGTTTATTCTAAGTAAAAAAAGATTCGCATATGGTTTTTAGTGATTTTAGTAATTTTAATATATAATAATTTCATATTTCTTAAAGTTTAATGTTTAAGATGCTTCATCTAGCGTTATCAAATCAAGTTACCGTTTGTGTACAGTATCAAACTTATTTTGTGTCCAATTACTTCCAAGTTTTATAAAAATATTTAGAAGTGACTTCTGTCATGTATAAATATTATATTCTAAATAAAATATCAAATTTTTTATTATGTAACACAATTAATAATTCTTTTTTAAATTTGAAATATTGTATGGTATTTATTAATTTGATTAAATTATTGAAAATAATTATTATTAATTTTATTTAATAATTAATAAATGATTATTAAATAATTCTACATTAAAATGCGAAAATTTTATTATATATCAATGCTCAATAGAAAATTATAGATATTATAAATAAATTTTAATTTAATATATCGAAATGTCGGGTATATTTTTTACAAATAGTTTCCACAATACAATATATACTTAATAACTCTAGTTTATCGATGCTTTAAAAAGAAAATGAAAAATTATTTAAAAATTAAGTACGTAAGTAAATTAATTATTTTTATTCATGCGTGTGCATTTTGTAATACATTTTTTAATGATATTTACAAAAAAAATTTATAATTTTATAATTGTGTGAATATCTACTTAATATAATTGTTAAAATGGCAAATTAGCTATTACATAGAAATTTTAATACATAATGCAAAATTAAAAAAAGGAGTTATATTAAATAAATTATAATATAATTAAAAGTATTTTTATAAAACTGAAAAATTGAAATTAGGTACGTGATGAAAAATGTCGCAATTTGTCCCAGTGATTATATAATTTTATAAGAATGGAAAGTGATAATTAAGGGATGAAGAGGAACGTTCTTCAAAAATTAAATTACTATTTTATATAGTGTTAGGTAAAATATGAAATGAAAATTTGTGTGAACTATTTGAATGCAATGACAACGCATGATTTTGTTATAAAATAATAAAAAAGATTTTAAATAATTATTAATATTCATATTGATTCATATTTTGAAGTTATAAAAATAATATGAGATCTTTAACATTATGTATTAGAAATATTTATTTAGAAAAATGTGCAATTGAGTTTTCATATTATTTTCAATATTTCTCGAAATACAATAATTAACTTTCTTATAATAGTAATTAATTATATAAGATATAATAATTGAAAATTGTAGCTAAATAAATTGAAGGAACTAAAGTAATAATAATAAAATTATTCAATAATTTTACTATAATAAATAAATTAATTAATATGAATATAAAAATATGCAGATATTATTATTTGTTTCTTATTTTATTATTATATTATTATTTTATTATAATTTTTAATATTATATACTACTTCAACCTTTAATCAGTTTTAAAAACTAATGAGATTATAAAACCGTAAGAATCGAATTAAAAGTTTATAATATACATAATGCGTTTATTATATTTACGAATTAATTAAATGTTCTTATAAATGTATTAATTTATGTCGTACGTTGCTATTAACTTATATTCATAAAAATACTTGATAAATTATTACTATTATTTTATTTAAATGATTGTTTTAAAATTTATACCAAAAGAAATTAAATAATACTATTACAAAAATTTCAATTTAATCATTTTGTAACAATTATCTAATTTTGAAGCCTATTAAATGTCTTATACCTTTTAACAAATTTTGAATTATATTAATACAAAAGAAATATTAATACAAAGGACATATATTTATACAAAATTAATCTATTTTCGTATAAATACATTTTAATCTTTTATACATGAAGGAATATTATTACTATATAATATTATAATTCTAACAATAAAAAAGATTCATATATGAGTAATGTAATTTCGTTTAAGCTTTTTATTATTAGTGCATATAACATTTTTCCTTTACTATATATAAAATATTTTCTTTAATTTTATTTAGAAAAATAAATAAATATCAAAATTATTCAGTTTAAAATCAGTAAAAAATTGAAAAAAAATAATGCGTTTTTTATGAAATATAAAATAAATAAATTTAGTTCATTATTTTCGTAACGTCATTAAAGGAATGTTATTTATATATAAAAAGAATATAAAAATTTTTAAATATGTTAATTATAGTTTCTATTAAATATTTTAATTTTTATAAGTATAATTGTTATTTAACTAACTTTTCAATCGTGCCAATAGTTACATTGTAACCATACCTCGTTACAGAAATAATTAGAATAATAAAATAATTTTGTTTTAATAATGGGGAAAATAATTTCAAGAAAAAATTAAAAGACATTAGGGAAATTTTGTTAAATTAAAAATTTTTACTTAAATTCAGTAATTCATTCCGTAAACAAAAAATTAATTTTAAACCATAATAATCATTAACCTAATGTAATGAGATTAATATAATGTATTTAGTAAAAAATAGTATACTAAACAAGAAATTGATTTAATACTAATGAATAATGGCTTTAATGAAACTTAAAGATGAAAAAGAATTATTAATTTATTCAAGAAATATTTACGAAAGGTATAAAAAATATAAAATTAATATTACAAAGAATGGTGTAAAATAACCTAAATATATATATACATTTTTTGTTTTTTTTTAAATGGCTATTTCAACGAATGGCTAATTTTTAAAATAGTTTTATCTTATTAAAATTAATAGATCAATCTATAATAAAAAAATAAGATATTAAATATAATCAAAACATAAAGATAATATTGACTAAAGGTGTATATTTTTGTACTGAAAATGCAGATATATAAAGAAATGTAATATAATCAACTAATTCTCTAGCTAACAACGACTATTAAATTCATGAAAATGTATAATTTTATTAATAAATAAAAAAACAATAAGAATCTATATATAGATAAATTCTGTAAAAAATTTATATTAAAAGTTATTTCTAATATAATATATAATTGTTAACGATAATAAAGAAAATGAAAAAGCCACTACTGAATCACAGGAAATGACTATGCAGTTTTTTTTAAATATTTAAACAATTTAATTTAAAATTTTCAAAATCAGAATATCATTTATGGAAATTACCAGACTACAAAATGAAAATTATATTATTTTTTACAAAAACTATTAGTATATAAATAATTTATTAGAAAACGTATTAAATTATGATAGATATTTTTAATTTATCTGGGGTTTATATAAGTTTGAACATGATCATTTTTGACAATTGAAAATTCGAAATCGAAAAGGTAGTAGTTTCAGTTCTTATCTTGTATATCTGATTAATTGTACTTCCCTTTTGCTTCATACATATTATATTTGCGATTTTTCATTAACTTTATTTTTTATTACAACTTATAGAAACAATATTTGCTATCAAAGAATAATATAATAATGTAGTTTTATTTTATCATTTAAGTGTATTTAGTAAATTAACATTAATAGTATTTCAAATTACTTCCTTCAAATACTTCATATTGCTTTCTAAACTCCGTCTGAAAATTCGTATGCGGAATTTCCAGCTTCTATCTACGCGTATGTCATGAATCTGCTGTTGGAAGACTCGATTCATTCTTCTTCAACAATATCAATTTAACTCCAGTCAGTAGCATTAGCTTATCTTAATTAAATTAAATACGGTGTATTGAAAAATTACTGAGTAATTTTTAATTGTATATTCTACAATTATGTTTATTTAAAATGGATGACGCGTAATTTAATGCTATTACTTAAGAATTCCTGAAATTAAGTAATAAAATTACATTGTAATCTATGGGATCCTACATACGTGGATTTTTTGTTGGATTTGTAATGCAAAATGGTTTTAAAATAATATTATATACACAAATTCCAAAAAAGTGCTTATAGTTTTAAAAATGAACATAATAGATTCAAGGTTATTTAAATATATAGAAATTTATTTTCAACAAAATGAAATATTTTTTTTTTAATATTTTAATTTAAGCAAACC